TTCTTTTCTTCCCCCCACAGATTCACTTTAATTAGATATATAATGATAAAGCACCTATGATGGCCTTCTTTTCTCCCCACAGATTCACTTTAATTAGATATATAATGATAAACACCTATGATGGCCTTCTTTTCTCCCCACAGATTCACTTTAATTAGATATATAATGATAAACACCTATGATGGCCTTCTTTTCTCCCCAGATTCACTTTAATTAGATGTATAATGGTAAGCACACCTATGATGGCCTTCTTTTCTCCTCCCCCACAGATTCACTTTAATTAGATATATAATGATAAACACCTATGATGGCCTTCTTTTCTCTCCCCCACAGATTCACTTTAATTAGATATATAATGATAAACACCTATGATGGCCTTCTTTTCTCCCCCCACAGATTCACTTTTTAATTAGATATATAATGATAAACACCTATGATGGCCTTCTTTTCTCCCCACAGATTCACTTTAATTAGATGTATAATGGTAAACACCTATGATGGCCTTCTTTTCTCTCCCCCACAGATTCACTTTAATTAGATATATAATGATAAACACCTATGATGGCCTTCTTTTCTCTCCCCCCACAGATTCACTTTAATTAGATGTATAATGGTAAACACCTATGATGGCCTTCTTTCTCCCCCCACAGATTCACTTTAATTAGATATATAATGATAAACACCTATGATGGCCTTCTTTTCTCTCCCCCACAGATTCACTTTTAATTAGATATATAATGATAAGCACCTATGATGGCCTTCTTTTCTCTCCCCCACAGATTCACTTTAATTAGATATATAATGATAAACACCTATGATGGCCTTCTTTTCTCTCCCCCACAGATTCACTTTAATTAGATATATAATGATAAACACCTATGATGGCCTTCTTTTCTCCCCCACAGATTCACTTTAATTTGATGATCACACCTATGATGGCCTCTTTCTTTTCTTTCCCAGATTCACTTTTAATTGGATATATAATGATAAACACCTATGATGGCCTTCTTTTTTTCTCCCCCACAGATTCACTTTAATTAGATATGTAATGATAAACACCTATGATGGCCTTCTTTTCTCCCCCCACAGATTCACTTTAATTAGATATATAATGATAAACACCTATGATGGCCTTCTTTTCTCCCCCACAGATTCACTTTAATTAGATATATAATGATAAACACCTATGATGGCCTTCTTTTCTCCCCCACAGATTCACTTTAATTAGATATATAATGATAAACACCTATGATGGCCTTCTTTTCTTCCCCACAGATTCACTTTAATTAGATATATAATGATAAACACCTATGATGGCCTTCTTTTCTCCCCCACAGATTCACTTTAATTAGATATATAATGATAAACACCTATGATGGCCTTCTTTTCTTCCCCCCACAGATTCACTTTAATTAGATATATAATGATAAACACCTATGATGGCCTTCTTTTCTTCCCCCACAGATTCACTTTAATTAGATATATAATGATAAACACCTATGATGGCCTTCTTTTCTCCCCCACAGATTCACTTTAATTAGATATATAATGATAAACACCTATGATGGCCTTCTTTTCTCCCCCACAGGTTCACTTTAATTAGATATATAATGATAAACACCTATGATGGCCTTCTTTTCTTCCCCCACAGATTCACTTTAATTAGATATATAATGATAAACACCTATGATGGCCTTCTTTTCTCCCCCACAGATTCACTTTAATTAGATATATAATGATAAACACCTATGATAGCCTTCTTTTCTTCCCCTCACAGGTTCACTTTAATTAGATATATAATGATAAACACCTATGATGGCCTTTTTTTCTCCCCACAGATTCACTTTAATTAGATATATAATGATAAACACCTATGATGGCCTTCTTTTCTTCCCCCACAGATTCACTTTAATTAGATATATAATGATAAACACCTATGATGGCCTTCTTTTCTTCCCCACAGATTCACTTTAATTAGATATATAATGATAAACACCTATGATGGCCTTCTTTTCTTCCCCACAGATTCACTTTAATTAGATATATAATGATAAACACCTATGATGGCCTTCTTTTCTCTCCCCACAGATTCACTTTAATTAGATATATAATGATAAACACCTATGATGGCCTTCTTTTTCCCCCCACAGATTCACTTTAATTAGATATATAATGATAAACACCTATGATGGCCTTCTTTTCTCTCCCCACAGATTCACTTTAATTAGATATATAATGATAAACACCTATGATGGCCTTCTTTTCTCCCCCACAGATTCACTTTAATTAGATATATAATGATAAACACCTATGATGGCCTTCTTTTTCTCCCCACAGATTCACTTTAATTAGATATATAATGATAAACACCTATGATGGCCTCTTTTCTCCCCACAGATTCACTTTAATTAGATGTATAATGATAAACACCTATGATGGCCTTCTTTTCTCCCCCCACAGATTCACTTTAATTAGATATATAATGATAGAAAACACCTATGATGGCCTTCTTTTCTCTCCCCACAGATTCACTTTAATTAGATATATAATGGTAAACACCTATGATGGCCTTCTTTTCTCCCCCCACAGATTCACTTTAATTAGATATATAATGATAAACACACCTATGATGGCCTTCTTTTCTCTCCCCCACAGATTCACTTTAATTAGATATATAATGATAAACACCTATGATGGCCTTCTTTTCCCCCCACAGATTCACTTTAATTAGATATATAATGATAAACACCTATGATGATTCTATAATTTCTCCCCACAGATTCACTTTAATTAGATATATAATGATAAACACCTATGATGGCCTTCTTTTCTCCCCCCACAGATTCACTTTTAATTAGATATATAATGATAAACACCTATGATGGCCTTCTTTTCTCCCCCAGATTCACTTTAATTAGATATATAATGATAAACACCTATGATGGCCTTCTTTTTCTCCCCACAGATTCACTTTAATTAGATATATAATGATAAACACCTATGATGGCCTTCTTTTCTCCCCACAGATTCACTTTTAATTAGATGTATAATGATAAACACCTATGATGGCCTTCTTTTTCTCCCCCACAGATTCACTTTAATTAGATATATAATGATAAACACCTATGATGGCCTTCTGCCTCTCTCCCCACAGATTCACTTTAATTAGATATATAATGATAAACACCTATGATGGCCTTCTTTCTCCCCCAGATTCAATTCTTTTAATTAGATATATAATATGATGGCCTTCAATTTTAATTTTCTCACCCCTATGATGGCCTTCTCCCCACAGATTCACTTTAATTAGATGTATAATGGTAAACACCTATGATGGCCTTCTTTTCTCTCCCCCACAGATTCACTTTAATTAGATATATAATGATAAACACCTATGATGGCCTTCTTTTCCCCCCCCAGATTCACTTTAATTAGATATATAATGATAAACACCTATGATGGCCTTCTTCTTTTCCCCCCCAGATTCACTTTAATTAGATATATAATGATAAACACCTATGATGGCCTTCTTTTCTCCCCCACAGATTCACTTTAATTAGATATATAATGATAAACACCTATGATGGCCTTCTTTTCTCCCCACAGATTCACTTTAATTAGATATATAATGATAAACACCTATGATGGCCTTCTTTTCTCCCCCCCACAGATTCACTTTAATTAGATATATAATGATAAACACCTATGATGGCCTTTTCTCTTTCCCCCACAGATTCACTTTAATTAGATATATAATGATAAACACCTATGATGGCCTTCTTTCTCCCCCCACAGATTCACTTTAATTAGATATATAATGATAAACACCTATGATGGCCTTCTTCTCTTCCCCACAGATTCACTTTAATTAGATATATAATGATAAACACCTATGATGGCCTTCTTTTCTCCCCCACAGATTCACTTTAATTAGATATATAATGATAAACACCTATGATGGCCTTCTTTTCTTCCCCACAGATTCACTTTAATTAGATATATAATGATAAACACCTATGATGGCCTTCTTTTCTTCCCCCCACAGATTCACTTTAATTAGATATATAATGATAAACACCTATGATGGCCTTCTTTTCTCCCCCACAGATTCACTTTTAATTAGATATATAATGATAAACACCTATGATGGCCTTCTTTTCTCCCCCCACAGATTCACTTTAATTAGATATATAATGATAAACACCTATGATGGCCTTCTTTTCTTCCCCCACAGATTCACTTTAATTAGATATATAATGATAAACACCTATGATGGCCTTCTTTTCTTCCCCCACAGATTCACTTTAATTAGATATATAATGATAAACACCTATGATGGCCTTCTTTTTTATATAATGATAAACACAGATTCACTTTTTAATTAGATATATAATGATAAACACCTATGATGGCCTTCTTTTTCTCCCCCCACAGATTCACTTTAATTAGATATATAATGATAAACACCTATGATGGCCTTCTTTTCTTCCCCCACAGATTCACTTTAATTAGATATATAATGATAAACACCTATGATGGCCTTCTTTTTCTTCCCCACAGATTCACTTTAATTAGATATATAATGATAAACACCTATGATGGCCTTCTTTTCTTCCCCACAGATTCACTTTAATTAGATATATAATGATAAACACCTATGATGGCCTTCTTTTCTCCCCACAGATTCACTTTAATTAGATATATAATGATAAACACCTATGATGGCCTTCTTTTCTTCCCCACAGATTCACTTTAATTAGATATATAATGATAAACACCTATGATGGCCTTCTTTTCTCCCCCCACAGATTCACTTTAATTAGATATATAATGATAAACACCTATGATGGCCTTCTTTTTTCCCCCACAGATTCACTTTAATTAGATATATAATGATAAACACCTATGATGGCCTTCTTTTCTCTCCCCCCCACAGATTCACTTTAATTAGATATATAATGATAAACACCTATGATGGCCTTCTTTTCTTCCCCCCACAGATTGTTGGGGATCCTGTGGGAGTTGTCCAGCAAGTGGTTGTCAAGACAACAGTGTCGCCATGGCAACCTCAAAATCATATACCAACAGATGCATTCCGTCCAACCCTAGCAAAAGTGTTTGAAGTCCTGGAGCATGTAGAGCATGCTAAAGCTGTCAATGGGTACAGTGCATTCATTATTACCCTCAATATGCATACTAGAGATGCAGTCTTGATGTGATATTTTTCATTTATCAAGAATTAATACAAAATACATATCCTTAACTGTAAAAGTTATGTGTTAAATTTGTTTAACCGTTAACTTCACAGTAGTGGTGTAACGATTCATCGATAGTATCGATGTTTGCATCATCAACTACGCGATACGAGTGCATCGATGCAAAACACATTTAGGTAATATATCAGGATATTTATATCGCAAGGGTCAATGATACATCGATGCATTGCCACAAGAGACGATATATCCCGATACTACTTAAATACTACTTAAAGTTGTAAGGAGTATTGCATTAGGATTAGGAAGGGAGTCTCTTTGAAATACTTCTAATTTTTTTAAAACAAACTGAACCTTACAGGATTTGTTTGTGTCTGCCATCCTTGTTACATGAACAAAGGAGTTGGTGTGTCAGTGAAAGATTGTGAACATTTTTCAATCTCTCTGAACTGTAAAGACTTGTCTTTAAGTAATTGAAACATGTTTTAGTTGTTTGACAAATAACACCATTTTTTTAACAACTATGAACGATGTCTTAGCTTTGTTAAGAAAGGGAAGATAAAATTTAGAAAGCATACTTAAGAGTTTTTTTAGTGATTCTGGTATAAATTACATTGAATTGCCTGTGAAAGCATTGGTGCAGAAACACAACTTTCCCAGGGAAACCTAGAGCAAGGTATACTGAATATGTTTGACTGTACTTTCTTAAGCATTAAATGCTGAAACTTTATTATAGGAAACAGCCTTTTAAGTGTGTGTGAATGTAACACATGTTCTGCTGCATAACAAATAAAGATTCAGTCAATTTTTTCTTATCCTGACTCATGATCTTTTGCTTATCTCCCTTTCCCTTGCGAATGGTAGTGGAACACTTGAATCCCTTGAAGTTCCCGAAGCGTAAAAATACACTCACCCACGAGTTACCTCCCTTTTGCCCTTTCCCGCGCAAAAAGTCATGTGATCAGCCTAACTTGTCACTCTCTCCCTTTTCGCCCAAGGGGATGGTTGGGCGAGCACTGGAGTCCCGTATACGGCATTATATAGCCACACCTCCACTTACCCTCAGCCCGATGGTCTTCGACTATGCAGAGGAGCAGGCAGACAAACTACAAGAAGCCATCAACTCACTACTTATGAAGGAGGCGGTAGAGATAATATATCAGCATCATCTCACTCCAGGCTTCTACTCCCCAATTTTTCTAGTACCCAAGAAGAACTCCAAGGAGAAGTTCAGACTGATTTACAACATGCACAAATTCAACAAAGACTATCTACTGAAACCAGACAGGTTCAGAATGATCCACCTACCTCAACTCAGACTACTCGTCCGTCCAGCAGATTACATGGCCAGCATAGACCTGCAGGATGCGTACCTACACATCCCCATACATCCGGAATCAAGAAAGTATCTACGATTCCTATTCAGAGGGCAGCACTTCCAATGGAACGTCCTACCGTTTGGAATATCTTCGGCTCCGTGGCTATTCACACGAGTAACCAAGCCTATAGTCGCATATCTACATCATCGAGGTCTACGCAATGCCTTCTACTTGGACGACAGAATTCAGGTTCACCAAGATGCGAGTCAACTCAGACTACAGACTTAAAGAAAACTTCAAATTTTAATAGCATTTTTCCCTTAAGTCAACTGTACTTTCTAGGTTCTAATGCTGTTGATTGCTTATCTGGCAAAGATAATCCCTATTGGAGAGATGTTTTATCTGCTTGGAGAATATTTTATAAAAAACACACCTTTGATGGCGATTATTTAGACCAAATCTTAGCTCAGCCACTCTGGTTAAACCATTTCTTTAAATCTTCATACATGATAAGAAATTGGTTTAAGTGCGGTATACATTATGTCAGCGATATATGTAATGAAAATGGATTTCTCAGTTTTGAAGATGTAAAACTGAGGTACAAAATAAGCGGGACCTTCTTAGACTATCATCATTTGTTAAATAACATTCCAATGAACTGGAGACAACTTGTAGGAAACAGAACTCTCTGCTTAAATCAATTAAACATTAATAGAGTTTACCTAGATATGATCTCAAATATTAAAGGTTCAAGGATATTCTATGATAAATTGATTAAGAACAACAATACCCCTAAAGTACTAGAGTATTGGAAAACTGTCTTTCAGCAGGATATAATTGTGGAGTAATGTATTCAGATATTACAGGAAATGCACAAATGATTGTAAGCTGTTAGATTTTCAGTACAGATTTATTTACAGAATAATCTATACAAAGAAAGAACTATTGAAGATGAAGCTAGTTGATAATGATACTTGTACTTTTTGTAAAAATACCTCAGAAGACATATTGCATGTATTTTTTTAATGTGATTTAGTTAAAAACTTTTGGCGAAAAGTAGAACAATTTCTAAATGCCCACCTCCAGTGTGATGTCACATTTACAAAATTCACTATCATGTTTGGAATGTTCTCAAACAATAAAATACTAAACCATATTATACTTCTTGCCAAAAGATTCATTTATGTTTCAAGTATAAAACAACAAACTCTTTCCCTTGAGGAATTTCTTAAGTTATTAAAAGATATATATACAACTGAAAAATATATAGCTAGGAAAAACAATAGCTTAGATCCCTTTATAAGGAAATGGAAACATTTATATACCTTACTATGTGCTAAACATTAAATTCTACCTATAATATCAGCTGAGACCTCCATAGTCACTACAACCATACTATTCAACCTTACCCCTCGAATTTCATATTCCCTCCACAGAAACTTTAATGACATCTTATGTATCTATATAATTGTTGTAATCTCATGATGTTATATTTATATATATGTATACATGCGTGTATGTATGTGCATATGTATGTATATGTATATATGTATGTGTGCACGTGTGTGTATATGTTTGCAATACTGTCTTTTATGTCATATAGAACCTTGCAAAACATCACTGAAGCTATATACATATATATTTGGATGTTGTCCTCTTTGCCATATGTATTTTATGTGAGACTTGAAATGGAATAAAAAAAACACTGAAAAAAACAACTCAGACTACAGCTGAACTTCACGATCCAGTTGCTCACTCAACTAGGATGGCTGGTGAACCTTATGAAGTCAGAGTTGGAACCAAAACAAGATCTGCAATTTCTGGGGATAAGGTTTATCTCAACACAGAATCAATTTGTCGTCCCAGAAGATCGTACGGTCAAGATACAAGCCAAGATTCCACTAGCAGTCATCTCTCCATTAACACTACGATCATGGCAAGCTCTACTGGGTCTACTAACCTCGGCGCAAGACTTGACTTGCACAGGAAGGTTACAACTAAGACCGCTGCAACGGTTCCTGACAAAACATCTAGACAGCGTCGACCCTATCTTGCTGCCAGACAACCTCAAGAGGTATCTACTGTGGTGGACACACAGGTCAAACGTTTGCTGAGGGACCTACTTACAAGAGTCCCCTTGCATAGACCTGTTTGCCACGAGGTTCAACAAGCAACTACAGACGTTTGTCTCACCAGTTCCAGATCCTCAAGCCTGGGCAACAGATGCACTGAGCATATCTTTGGAAGGTTAAACGCTTTATGCTTTCCACCCCCAATGTTACTACCAGAAGTACTGTTGAAGATCAAACAGACACAGGTGCTACAACTGACTTTGGTCGTCCCATACTGGCCAGCGAGTGTATGGTTCCTAGACCTAATAGAAGATCTCGGAAGTCCAACAATCAAAGTTACCAGATTGGCCAAACCTACTCATACATCCGCACACCAAGCAAGTCCACGGGAACCCGACAACGTTCCAGCTACATGTGTGGACCGTATCAAAACATGTTTGAAGAAAAGAGGATACTCCACCAGGGCAGCAAAGGCAGTAATGCAGATTTACTCGCAGTCTATATGACAACAAGTGGCTGAAGTTTGAGACTTATGCAAGGCGGAAAGGGTTCATTGCGATGAAAGGTACTCATCCTCAAGTGGCGGAATACCTGTGCCATCTTAGACAGACCAGACATCTGAAAGGTTCGACATTATCTACATACCTTGCCGCCATCAGTACAGTGATTACCATGAAAACAGGCATCAAGTTGACAAAAGTACCAGAATTACTTGCTCTGCTGAGATCTTTTAAACTGGTGGACCAGCAAAAGAAGTTCAGAGTTCTGGCCTGGGATCTGAATGTAATTCTACGTCATCTTACGAGTGATGTCTACGAACCTCTAGACCAGACTACACTCGAGCTGCTGACACAGAAGACTCTGTTCCTGCTTGCGCTAGCCACGGCAGCTCGAATATCAGAGATACATGCGCTGGACTTTGGTCGAACCAGATTCGACACGGGGCAACATGCTGCAGTTCATCTAGGACTTAGATGGGACTTCATTGCCAAGAACCAACTACCTGGTCAGCCAGATAAACAGTTCCACATACAAGCTCTATCTACAATCCTTGGACCAGAGGATATAGAGGACTTATCCTTGTGTCCGGTCAGAGCCCTGAAGATATATCTTCAAAAGACTAAGACAAGGACACGAAAATTCAAGCGCCTGTTCATCCCATTATCCACAGAGACATCATCAGAAGTCTCAAGAACGAAGATATCGTTCTGTATGAGAGCCGTCATATTGAGAGCCTATAAAGCAGCAGGACTAGAACCTCCTAGAGCTTCCAACCCACATGAAGTCAGAGCACTGGCGTCAACACAGGCTCTGCATGGAAATAGCTCTATATCTGCAATTATGGAGGGCTGCTTTTGGGAGTCAGACACAGTGTTTGTCAACCACTACCTCCGAGACATAGCCACTGAAGATGTCTCAGGCATTCACCAATTTGGGCCTCTCGTTGTAGCACAGCAACTAACGGTTCCTCAAAGGTGCTGAGTTGGAAAATCTCACCCTTTATCACGTTGACTTGTTGATAACTTTTACTAAGGAAAAGTATTAGTTTAAAGGTCCATGCGCACAGTCTAGGACAGGCTAGCATGAGTGATTTAAGATCCTGTACGGGTAAAGATCTTACCTGTACAACTCATTTATGATAAAGATCTTATCATAATCTATGGGTTGTTATAAGATATCTAGTAATATGAAGATACTAGTTTATCTGTAGCCACATGAATCAAGATGATTCAGCTTGTCTGAGACTGAAGTAAGACAAGAAAGTGGTCCCCCCGAGTTATAACGCAAGTTGGAAGAATAGGATCAGATGACTGTTTGCGTGGGAAAGGGCAAAAGGGAGGTAATTTGTGGGTGAGTGTATTTTTACGTCCGCTTCGGGAACTTCAAGGGATTCAAGTGTTCCACTACCATGTGCAAGGAAAAGGGAGATAAGCAAAAGATAATGAGTCAGGATAAGTATAAAAATATCAATTTTACTTGAAAAATTACATTTTTATCTATCATATATGTCCTGTTTTAAGAATTGTAAAGTATCGGGATACGTATAGTATCGCCATCACTGTGTTGTGATGATGATCGTCTCACAGGTTCCTTGCCAATACTTTCATGATATATCGTCTTGCCTCATTAAACTGGTATCAGGATATATCGTCTCGCCACTTAGGCACCGATACACAGCTCTACTTCACAGTCATTTTATGGATTATTTTCAGATTTGGATAAAGGCTTCCTTGTTTATAGGAAAGGTGCAGTGCATCTACAAGTATTGTAATTTGAACATCAAATCTGAGGGGTACTTGTAAATACCACTGTGTTAAATGTTGAGAATATAGGTAGATATATAATAGGGGGAAGCAAGGTCAAGGTCAAGAGTTTGATTTTCAAGACAAGCTAGGGACTGGTTATAATTCATGGCTAGGGGGCTGATGATGATTTTAAGGGATGGTCACCTCTATAGTTAGCAGGAGTAAAAGGGGGTCATCAATTTTGTACAAATAGGGGGGTGGGGGGTTTTGTCATTGATTTTGTACGTGACATGCAGGGGGCCACTCATTAATTATGAATGGTCCCTCAATATATGATTCTGAAGCCAAGATATTTTAGCGTCAACCAGTATAGTGGTCATACTGCAGAGACAGTTATAACCTAAATCAAAGTGCTGACATCATTCTGTGAAATGGGGCCCAGGTATACATCGTCTCGGGTTATAAGTATTACAGTTTATATCACCTGTTCTGTAATGTAGACTTCCGACATTTGTGCAGCTGGCATCACTTTGTGGAATGGGAGAAGAGACTGGTGCCTGGGTAGCCCATCCCTGCTAGACTGATAACAGGGATTTTTGTAAATTACTTGAAAATCTTGAAGGTTCTGCATTTGCCACATGTTTTGTCTTCAGTGGTGTGGAGGTGTCTTTGTCCAATATGTGTCTGCGAGTGGCCGAGTCGGTCAAGTGGATAAAGTTTGGGCATGTCCTGCCACATTATGACTGTCTAGTTGTCTCCCCTGCCAATTTGTGGATGAAAGACAAGCACAGGTAACAGCTAAATAGCAGTTAAATCCTTGGTTTAGTCAGTGTATAGATCAGATAAATCCATGAATAGTCCAGTTTAATTCTTGAATATGCAGATAAACATGGTAAATGTTTGAAATAAGCGCTAGTTAAATCCTTGAGAAAGTAAGATGTAATTTCTTGAATAAGCACGTTAGTACAGGTTAAATGATGGTATAAGCACATAAGTGCTTGTTGAATCATGGTATAAGCATGAAATACTGGTTAGGTCATAGTATAAACATGATAAGTGCTGGTTAAGTCATGGTATAAGTATGATCAGTGCTGGTTAAATGCTGGAATTAAGTGCTTATTAATCCTTAAATATGTATTTATCCTTTGATAAATTTACAACATATGTGTGTAAGGTGGGTACAACATGTCTTTGTGAAATGGGAACTTGATGTGTACATATCTGTTCAACTGTGATAACTTTGTTTGTTCCAGGTATCATAAAGATGCTGAAATAATTAAAACAGTTTATCAAAAATTTGGACAAACTTTGGAATCATCTCCAACACTGAAAGGTAACAATAGTAACAGACACTGACACTAAACACTAGAAACCGACATTGACGCTTGACTTGATTTGGTCTGTTAACCATTCCAAGCTGTATGAGCTGTAGGGTGTGTTGAGGGCATGTGTCAGTTTGGTGTACCACTACACATAGGGTATGAGTGACATGTATCAGTATTAGAGTTTACATGTTATAAGGATATGGGGATGGCAGGTAGCCTAATGGTTAAAGCGTCTGTTCGTCATGCTGAAAACCCGGATTTGATTCCTCACATGGTACAATGTGTGAAGCCCATTTCTCGTATACCTCAACGTGATATTGCTGGAATGTTGCTAAAAGCAGCATAAAACCATACTCACTCACTCACTCACTTACTCACTCACTACAAGGAGAGGCGGTTGGGGTAGCCTTGTGGTTAAAGCATTTGCTCGTCATGCCGAACACCCGGGTTCGATTCCCCACGTGGGTACAATGTGTGAAGCCCATTTCTGGTATACCCCGCCGTGATGTTGCTGGAATATTGCTAAAAGCGGCATAAAACCATACTCACTCACTCACTCCTCACTACAAGGATATGAGTGACCCTTTCAGAATGTTGAATGTAGGTATTTGATATTGTATTACAGGTGTAAGTTAGGACTACTCAAACCGTTGCTAGTCACAATGACACATGATCATGATGATATATTGCATAAAGACAATAGCAATAACTGATATCAGCGATTGATTGTAACACGTGACTCATGACCAACATAAACGAGAGACTGTTGTTCTAGATGTGTTGTTCGGGGTGCCGTGGAAGGAGACAGGGGTGTCACGCTACTTCATTCGCAATCGTCAAAGAGTGATAACCTTCGCCATATCCATTGTCATGAAGAATTACAGTGCAAGGTGAGCCCACCGATTGTGAAGTGACACTTTACTGCACCACAGTTATGTTTTCAACTTGTCATATTCTTCTTTTTGCTGAGGGGCGGTGGGGTAGCCTAGTGGTTAAAGCATTCGCTCGTCACGCCGAAGACCCAGGTTCGATTCCCAACATGGGTACAATGTGTGAAGCCCATTTCTGGTGTCCCCTGCCGTGATATAGCTGGAATATTGTTAAAAGCGGCATAAAACTGAACTCACTCATTCACTCACTTCTTTTGTTGACTAAGTATGCTAAGTACATCTTATTCTCAATATAATATAAGTATTGGATGTGTGGTTATAATAAGGGTAATGAGTTAAGTACGAAATATGAAGTCCTCATAAAAAGGACTCAAAATATGAAAAGAGAAGAATGATTATCATGATCCCCATTATGCTCCTTCCAAAGACTGAAAAGTGGTTTAACAGTTACTATGACAGATATGGTATGTGAGTGTATGTCTCTGAATGCACATTCATCAGTGAATCCTACTAGCATGTAGTGATGTTTATCTGCCCTTAGTGGGGAGATGGGGTAGCCTAGTGGTTAAAGCGTTCGCTCGTCACACCGAAGACCCAGGTTCGATTCCCCACATGGGTACAATGTGTGAAGCCCATTTCTGGTGTCCCCTGCCGTGATATAGCTGGAATATTGTTAAAAGCGGCATAAAACTGAACTCACTCATTCACTCACTTCTTTTGTTGACTAAGTATGCTAAGTACATCTTATTCTCAATATAATATAAGACCGAAGACCCAGGTTTGAATCCCCACATGGGTATATTGTGTGAGGCCCATTTCTGGTGTCCCCTGCTGTGATATTACTGGAATATTGCTAAAAGCAGCGTAAAATTAAACTCACTCATTCTCTCTGCCCTTAGTTTTGTGGATTCCCTGAAGAGGGAGCTAGAGCATCACTACCCAGACACATCCCTCCACGGTAACATCAGCGACAGCGACCAGGTGGTCCACCTCCACTACAGAGACATCAACTACTTCGTGGAGTACACCCCCCTCCTCGTCACCTACTTCGTGATCCTCATGTACCTCTACTTCTCTGTCCGTAAGTAGCTCTGGGGCAAAGTTTGTGTTAGAATGAACGTGATATCCATTAATGGATTGGAACGTTAGATGCAGATTCAGTGTTTACAGGCCAGCATTATACAACACACATACACATTACACCAACTTCTGTATGTCAGTTTAAGACTGAAATCATTTATGAATAATGTGTACTAATTTGTCTCCTAAATAAACTTTTTTTTCATATCAAACATGAAAATGAAGTTTTCATGAACAAAACTTAGTGTTATTACACCAACCTCTGTATATCACTTAAAGACATAATATTGTGTACTTTTCTAACCAGTTTTGTGTATTTCTTCAGGGAAGATTGAGATGGTGAAGTCTAAGATCGGCCTGGCCATCAGCGCTTTGTTCACGGTTGTGGCATCACTGCTTGTGTCTGTCAGTGTGTGCTCTGTCTTTGGTCTGGCTCCAACTCTGAATGGCGGGTAGGACCAGCGTTCTCATATCTTGTTTTGTCGTGTTTATGGACTGGATATTTGAGGTAGTTGTTAAAGACTGGTAGTAAAAGAAAATGATCTTGTTGGGAGATATGAGATTAAGTCCCCAGCACCTGTTGTGAGAGTTGCCTAAATAGGACACCTGTGAAGATCTGGATTACAGCAACCCATGCTTGTTGTAATGTAAGATGTGACTACTGAGATCGGGTGGTCAGGCTCGCTGTCTTGGTTTAACACATGCCATCATATCCCAACTGCGTAGAATGATTGCTCATACTGTTGATCCCTGGATTGTCTGGTCCAGACATGATTATTTACAGACCGCCATCATATAGCTGAAATATTGTTGAGTACGGCGTTAAACAACAAACAGCAATAACAACAACCTAGACTGGAACAGGTCAGGCTGCTGAGTGGTTCAGTTGCACGTCATTATTAGTGGTGGTCCGATTAATTGAAATAATTGAAGATTGGTCGCAGTGACCAAGCAATCGATCATGTTTTCTCATAATCGAACACAAACAATTCTTGAACACTTGTTTGCATTAACAAAAGTTTTCACAAGGTTGGTTTTGTCTGTTACATTTCATGACCACTACAAGCTCGTTCCAAGTCATGGTTGAATGTATCTTAAAGACTCCAAGAAATTAATGTTCCTAACCTACTAGTCATCCTTTAAAGATGTGAAATTTGCCAATGCCTTTTGTGCAATTTGCAAAAACTCCAAAATACTACAGGGTTTTTTCTTTATTTTTTTTTTGTCCATTAACAAAAATAATCAGGAAAATTTCATAAATATATGCTAACCAATTATTTTCGATGATTGATCGGTTGTAATGAACCAATCATCAATTATGAGATTTTGACCAATTCCCAGCACTAGTCATTATACCCTAGTCACATGAGATGCTGCTCATTATATCAGCGACTGGGTTATTTGGCCCAGATTCCACTGGGATATAGCTGGAATATTGCTTACTAGCAGCAGGGAAAACAACAGATGTAAATAACGGTGTCATGTTGTGTCTGCTTCAGGGAGATTTTCCCCTACCTGGTTGTGCTGATCGGCGTGGAGAACGTGCTCATCATCACCAAGTCTGTTGTGTCAACACCCGTCCATCTGGATGTTAAGATCAGAGTTGCTAAAGGTAACTGCTAATTGTTTATTGTGTTCGAAACATGGAGATGCTTTAAACCAAACTCAATATCACAGCTATGTCAAATCTTTGAAGGACATTTCGGAGTGCAATGCATAAGAAAAGCAAGAATTATGGATGTCAACTTCTTTATTGTAAATAACACGGCATTTCGGGGTATATGCTCGCTCCTTCATCATCATGTTGCTTTACTTACCACAGCTATGTGCCAGCAGTCTGTTACTAATTAAGTGTGGTACGAAGTGATACACACACTGTTTATATTAAATGTTTGTTGCAGGGTTGAGCAAGGAGGGCTGGTTCATCACCAAGAATCTGCTCACAGAGCTCTTCATCATCCTGGTTGGGTTCTTCACCTTTGTACCCGCTATCCAGGTACACACATGACTGTATGTATGTAGCTATCATGACTTGGTTGACGCCAGACTTGTGATGGGAGTTTTTCTGTGTGGTACATCCTACAATCCCTGTAGCCCATGGTCATAAGAAGGTGGCGTCAATGGGGTGGCGTCAATGGGGTGGCGTCAATGGGGTAGCCTAGTGGTTAAAGCATTCACTCATTATTCAAAAGATCTGGATTTGATTCCCTGCATGTGTGAAATGTATGAAGCCCTTTTCAAGTGTCCCCATCTGTGATATTGGTGAGAGGAAAAAGGGCATATGTTGCTCCCAGATCCTGAGCCTCGAGACTTGTCTTATTTGTTTCTGTGTGATGTTGCAGGAGTTCTGCATGTTTGCACTGGTTGGCCTGCTCTCCGACTTCTTCCTACAGATGGTGTTCTTTGCTACCACTCTCTCTGTGGACATTCGGAGAATGGAGGTGAGATAGAGGCTGTGTGTCACGTTATCACATTTCTGTCAGCTCATTGCATTATTGCCTGGTCATTACATTATGAACAGGTCGTTGCATTATCATCACGTCATTACATTATTAACAGATCATGACATTATTGCCAGGTCATTGCATTATTATCAGGCCTTTACATTATTGCCAGGTCAATACATTTACTGCCAGGTTATTACATTACTGCCAGGTCATTACATTATCATCAAGTCATTACATTATTAACAGGTCATTACATTATTGCCAGGCCATTGCATTATTTTCAGGTCATCACATTATTAACAGGTCATTACATTATTGCCGGGTCATTGCATTATTATCGGGTCATTACATTACTGCCAGGTCATTGCATTATTATCAGGACATTACATTACTGCCAGGTCATTGCATTATTATCAGGTCATTACATTACTATCAGGTCATTGCATTATTATCAGGTCATTACATTACTGCCAGGTCATTGCATTATTATAAGGTCATTACAATATTGCCAGGTCATTCCATTATTATCAGGTCATCACATTATCATCAGGTCATTGTATTATTATCAGGTCATTACATCACTGCCAGGTCATTGCCTTATTACCAGGTCATTGCCTTATTACCAGGTCATTACAATATCAACACGTGATTGCATTATCATCATGTGATTGCATTATTATCAGGTCATTACATTATCATCAGGTCAATGCATTATCAGGTGATTGCATTATTATCAGTTCATTGCATTATTATTAGATGATTACATTACTGCCTGGCCGCTGCATTATTATCAGGTCATTACATTACTGCCAGGTCATTGCATTATCATCAGGTCATTACGTTATCATCAGGTCATTGCATTAATATCAGGTCGTTGCATTATTATCAGGCCATTACAATATTGCCAGGCCATTCAGGTCATTGCATTATTATCAGGCCATTGCATTATTAACAGGTCATGCATTGTTATGTCATTACATTACAGGGGCTTACATTATTGTCAGGTCTTTACATTACTTGTCATTACATTATTGTCAGGTCATTGCATTATTAACAGGTCTTTGCATTTGTATCAAGTCATTAAATTACTGCTAGGTCATTGCATTATTATCAGGTCATTGCATTATTATCAGGTCATTACATTACTGCCAGGCCATTGCATTATTATCAGGTACATGATTGACAGGTCATTGCATTATTATCAGGTATTTACATTATCATCAGGTCACTGCATTTTTTTTTTCAGGTCATTACATTATCATCAGGTCACTGCATTATTTTTTTTTTTCAGGTCATTACATTATCATCAGGTGGCTGCATTATTATCAGGTCATTACATTATCATCAGGTCATTGCATTATTATCAGGTCATTGCATTATCATGTCATTGCATTATTATCAGGTCATTACAATGTTGCCAGGCCATTGCTTTATTATAAGGTGATTGCATTATCATCAGGTGATTACATTGTCATCAGGTCATTGCATTATCATCAGGTGATTGCATTATTATCAGGTCATTGCATTATTATCAGGTCTTTACAATGTTGCCAGGCCATTACATTATTATGAGGTCATTACAATATTGCAAGGCCATTGCATTATTATCAGGTCATTGCATTATTGTCAGGTCATTACATTATTGTCAGGTCATTACATTACAGGTCATTGCATTATAATCAGGTCACTAAATTTTTATCATGTCATTACATTATTATCAGGTCATTACAATATTGCCAGGTCACTGCATTGTTATCATGCCATTACATTACTGCCAGTTCATCAGACTATCATGGTCTAAGACCTGCATTACTTAGGTCTTTCCTCCCACATCACTCACTTACTGATGGTTGTAGCTAATGTTTGTCTTTGAAACTGTGTGAATACTGTTGGATTGCTTTGAGAAACATTAGTATCCAGTAACCTATGCCTTTTAACAAGTAACTTAAATTGAGCTCTTGTAAATAGAACTTACTAACATGTTTCACTACATGTCATCGAAACCCTGGCAACATGGAACATTGCTCATGATATCAATCACTGGTTCATGTGGCCTGGTTATATCCTGGCTGCCATGATATGACTTGAATGCTACTGACATCTTTGTTAAGCACATCCCCTTCACCATGCCGTGGGTGTTGTAGCTGGCTGACCTCCACAAGCAGAGCGTCCTCCAGAGGACCTCGGAGGACGACACCAACATCAACATTGAGCCCCTCCTGCGGTGTCCGGTCATGTCCAGAATGACCCCTCCAGGGTCCCCACCTACCTCAAAGATGCACCGGTCCAAGTCCGCCCCAGGGTTGGATGTCCAGGGCGTAGCGCAACGCCACTCACCACCCCCTTCACCTCACCTCCCCGAGCTCGAGATGTTCTTCCCTGAAACTTTTGATAATCCTCGCCGATGGAAATTCATCTCGTTCTGGGCAAGAACACGCATGTTTCAGAGGCTGATTATGGTTAGTATTGGTATTTGAACATTAATGGTGAAACTGTTGCTGGTCGTACATAATGCTTGAGGTGTCATTCATTGGAAATGTTAATGTCAATACATCAACTCAAGAGTATTGTAATATGGTGTTATATCAAACAATAACATAGTTATATTTAGTAGTAGTATTTGTCAGGTATATAGATAACGTGTTTCTGTATGCCTACAAATAATGTAATGTTATGCATGAAATAGGCTGATCCATAAATTATCCAAACTTCTGCCTTCTCATTGTCCATTTTTGGCAATCCCAGTGAATTATAAATGAATTCTAAATGAATTATCAACATTGAATCCATATAGCATGGTGTCCCTACTTGTTTATGATTGGGGACCGTGACTGTTCGTTGTCACAAACTATTACTACTAGCACTACTACTGTGAAACCATACAAGGCAGCTTAATATACTACCCATCAAAAGTTTTGACTCCCTTAAAGCAGTCACTATATGTTATGTATAAACATATGGTTACATCGAAGATGAATTTCTCCACTAACTTGGGGGAACCAACAGCAGACCTTATGCAGATGAATTGCACGAGGATCATGCATCAAATTGCTGAAAAGCATGTGCAAATATTGTGCATGTGAACAGCTGCGTTTTGGTGTAAAGTTTTGTTAACAATTGGCCAATTTTCACTGAGTTTCATCATATACTGAACTCATGATAATAATCTTTTCAACGTTACGAATTTGTTTTACAATGCATCAGTTCATGTGTAAACAGTACCTTTAAACAGTATGGAATATTTTGCAAAATCTAGCTTAGAACAGTTGACTGAAGTGGCTACATTTACACTAGTGAGTCTAAACTTTTGATGGGAGGTACAGATTGAATGTTTGGGTTTGTGACTTGATTGCATCGTGTACCCTGCCAGCATCGGTGCTCATAACATTGATCACTGGCTGGTCAGACAAGACTCCATTTTCTGCCAGCCATTGTGGTGTAGCTGGAATATGGAGTGAGGAGTTAAGCAAGGCGCTCATGAAGATCCAGGTTAGAAATGGTCTTCAGATACCCATGCTTGTTGTAAGAGGTGACTAACGGGATCGGGTGGTCAGGTTTGCCGAGTTGGTTGACACATGTCATCATATCCCAAATCTGTAGATCGATGCTCATGTTGTTGATCACTGGATTGTCTGGTCCAGACTCGATTATTTACAGACTCCCGTCATATAGCTGGAATATTGCAGAGTGCAACATTAAATAATTAAACAAACTTAAGCAAGAAACAAAGAGCTGATTACATTATGATTTCATTAAGAACATTATGGTAATGTTGTTGTTTTTGTTTCCAGCTGTGTACAGTAATCTGGATCGGGCTGATTGTGTACAAGACAGGCCTGGTTGACCAGCTGACCAGCCCGGAAGGGGTGATCCTCGCCACTAGGAGCCCCTCCGGCGCCCACCATCTGCTGAAGCAGGAGCTGTATGCAGACAAGGCCCAGATGAAGGGGGTTGATGGGGTGTACCAGGGCAGGGGGGACGAAGAGGGGTACACAGGGAGGGTGGGGGATGAGGAGGAGACCCAGGGGATGTCGGAGCACAAGAACCAGGAGTCCTACCTGACTTTGTCTCCACAACACTGGCCCACGCTGTTCAGCTACTACAACATCAGTCTGGCTGGAAGGTAGGCACACAAGTGTTGGTTTAGGGAGGGAATAGATGGGAAGGATAGATAGAGTGATAGAGACAGTGATGGAGGGAATGGTTGGTGTAGTTGGTTTGTTGTTTAATGCCTCACTCAGCAATATTCCAGCTATATGGCAGGGGTCTGTAAATAATTGAGTCTGGACCAGACAATCCAGTGATCAACAGCATGAACATTGATCTACGCAATTGGGATTCCATGACATGTGTCAACTAAGTCAATGAACCTGACAACACAATCCTGTTAGTCGCCTCTTACGACAAGCAACCAACCAACTTACTCACATGTACCTACACTGGAAGCTTTTGGTCTGACCCCTCTATTTTTAGAAATCCTGAAATTTGTCAAAACAGATTTCCAGAAGAATTATAAGATCAATCAATGGTTTCAGTTTCACATTAATTAAACCAATAATTGAATGTAAGATGACATGTTAGTTCAGATAAATACCCACTCTCCATATTTTGCTTTTCAGATATATAACTGTTCTACCACCAATCCGTCTCTCTGCGATCATCGACCCACAGACAGCAGTAGATCTACGACACGCGGCAGAGTTTGACTACTACGCTCATCCAGGTCCCGATGGTGAGGGCCACACTCATCCAATCAAAGACACCAATGCTTCCGATATAGCCAATCGAATTCCATATTACATGTATGACCCGGAACACCTGAAGACGTTCTACCCCAAGTCTAAGAAGGAGTTCATCATCACCCTGTGCCTGGGCTTCCTCAGCGTCATTGTCATCTCGTATTTCATGATCATGCTATATAAGTGCATGTGCTCCAGGAACTACTCCAAGTGGCGCCGGTCTTGGACAAAGGTGAAGAGGAAGAAGAAAGGCTACTATAAACAGATTAAGGATTCAGTGCCACTTGTGTTGAAGGGGCACAGGCAGGTATGTGCCACAGTCATCTGTATGTCTTGTGGGCCATATGATAGAAAATAATCGCATTTCATTTCCAGATGGACCAGTGGTTCTCAAGTGAGTGAGTTTAGTTTTACACCGCCTTTAGCAATAATATTCCAGCAATATCACGGCGGGGGACACCAGAAATGGGCTTCACACATTGTACCCATGTGGGGAATCGAACCCGGGTCTTTGGCATGACGAGCGAATGCTTTAACCACTAGGCTAAACCACTGCCCCTCTCAAGTAAACATTGGCCAGTAAATAGTAACACAAGTCTCAACAATAACTGTCAGTTAGTTACATGTAATCTACAGCTGAAACAATAGAGTAGCGTTATACATTTGCTTTAAGTTTTATTTATGACTCGGTAGGAAATGCTGCCACATTTAGGGGATAGGGTTAATGCCCAGATATTTTACTAAGGCCAGCTGTAGTTCTGAATGCAAATGCAGGATATACATGAAAGATTTGTGGTGTCTAGACTGGTCACCATAATATTTCTGGATTACCTCTAACTGGCAGTTACATACTTATGTGGCTTATGTGCACAGAGACACATCAGAATAGCTGTTTTCCTTTCCTCTGTTAAAGTTTATGAATATTGATGTGCTCATCCAGTTAATCTGAATACCCATGAAGGTCTGGGTTAGAATTGGTCTTCAGCAATCCATGCTTGTCAAAAGAGGCAAATAATGGGATCGGGTGGTCAGGCTCACTGACTAGGTTGAAACATGTCATCGTATTCTAGTTGCGTAGATCAATGCTCATGCTGTTGAACATTGGTCTGGACTCAATATTTTTTTTCTGTAATACTTCTGAGTTCAGCAATAAATTGCAAATTGCTCCAACATATATTTCCTTTATTGCATGTAACCATGGTAACAGGAGCAAGTGTATATACGAATCAGTTAACACATAGCCTTGGTCTTTGTTGTATAACTCCACAGTCCACAACATGATCACACCATTTTAATTGAGTGTAGACAGAGCAAATGATGGTTGATATGAGCTCGTCCAGTTAGCAGCACTGAACACTATGACTGAGGCTACGATGATACGCCGTCAACCAAGTCACCAAGCCTGAGTCTCTGATCCTATGTCACCACTACTGGAGAACATTAACTCCTCAATCTATGGTATAGGTCCTGTGAATGCTACTGAGGTTTGTTACATTGTTTGTCCATCAGAAGATCGAGTGTGTTGTGGTGGACGGCTCCCTGGTGGTCAGCTGTTGTTGGGGAGGGCAGCTGAGGGTGTGGGACTCCAACACAGGAGAGTGTCTGTCGGCAGTCAGACGGAGAAGGTAACACCCTAGCTTGAGAGAATCTTCATACATGAGAACTTTTTAAAACTTTTACATAAAAACAGAAATAATAGCAGTCAGGTATTTCATTATTCAAGTCTTCTTCTCCTATTTTATATAGTTGTCGACATAGAAAATGTTTGAGTTGTTACTTTCTTAAAAAATACGAAAATGGTAAATTTTTAACTTACCTTACCTCATGGTAATGTGCATATTACCTTTGCTCATCCGATACAAAGATTGGAAACGTGATCGATAAGTATCCTTGTTGAATGCTATCATGAAACTGGTGACATGTCGATCTCGTCCGGTGACGCCCACCCACACATCCTGTCATATGACAAGCGAGAACTTTTCGTCACTTTATTTTATCGCACTGCGATTTGGACGTGTATACAATATTTCTGTTTTTCTTTTCTTACTGTTTCTTTGTGTTTTGCTACGGTAAGGTTTTCCTGTTGTATCCTTCTACCATGATATTACAAAAAGTCTACTCACAGTTGGCTGTTTTTTCTCACTGTACGGTCTTCGCGGTGTGTTGTTTTGCTTTGTTTTGCCTCCTGTGTTTATCCAGCTTCGCTTCGGCAGAATTAGGTACCTCTTTGGTCAGCCTGGGTTTTTCACATGTTTGCCAGTAATGGCGGCTGTCGCTAGGCGTGGCACATACATGCAGAGCTACGTGTGTGTGCTCTCTGTTGTCGTTTAGTTTCGTATTCCGCTTTTCCCGCCGTTTTTCGCTTCACTGTCTCATTAAGTTGTTGGCGTTTCTTTCTTATTTGGGTAAGCGTGTGTATACCAAAGTTATGTGGTTTTGCACATGGGCCTTCCCTTGCCATATAGGCTTATATTTGCTTTATCATAACTGTTTGTTATGCTATATTTTCTTTGTGACAATGTTAATATTTACTTAACATGTGATCAACAGTAATTGTTTTTCTGCCACAGGTTTACTGCAATCGGTGCAAGTCTAAGAAGTCAGCTAAAGACCCCCATCCTGCTTGCCTGGATTGTCTTGTCGACTCAGCGTGTACTTGGACCTCTCGGTGCTCGTTTTGCCGGCACCTACCTTCCACTGACTTTAAAGCGTTCTTAGCTGCTCGGAACAAACGTTTTACTCAACGCAAAGCGCCTCATGTCTTCTAACGACGCCTCTGAGACTGCTGAGGTTCTTTCGACACCTACGGCTCAGCTTGGGAACGTCTCTACACCTTCAGCGGATCGGCGATCCACGACTTTGCCTCCCCGCCAGTCCTCATCTCCGGAGCGAGCCTCCTCACACAGGCCCAGATCGACAATGTTGTGAATCCAGGCGCTCCATCTATTCTTCAAGATTCCCGGCTTATGGGGCTCTGGAACGGGAGGATTGTCAGCATCCAGATGATCGTTCTAAGGAACGCCAGCGCTCCTCTGATCGTCCATTGTCCGGAGATGACCAGCGTTTGCCCACGAATCGGCAACGTTTCCCTCAACGCTCCCCTCAACCTTCACCAAGCCGTTCACCTGCCGAGATGCTCGGCGTTCTCCCAAGCGTGCAACAGAGTGTGATGCTCAGCGTTCTTCACCTAGACGTTCGCCTCGGCGCTCCCGTTCTCCCAGGCGCTCTCCTGTACTCCTGTCTCCTCGGCGTTAACCTAGGCGCTCTCCTCGGCGTTCACAATGGCGCTCCTCTAGGTGCTCACCTCGGTGTTCACCTCTGAGTTCACCTCTGAGACAACTTTCACCTCTTCATCAGCGTTCACGTTCCCGATCACCTATGTTTAGGTCGCGGGATTCCTCGTCTCTTGTGATTACGAGGAAGAAGACAACCAGGGTCTGACGCACTTGGGCATGGAGAGTGTTTACGCCTGGATAGCTGACAGACTTATCACTTGCCCGCCTCCAAGATCGGATATTCCTCGTGCTACCTCCATTTGGGATGAACCAGAGCTCCTTCTGCCACCGCATCCCATGGTTGCTGATGCCATTGCTTCACTTGATGAGGATTTCCAAAAGTTATCTCTCAATCCTTCCATCAAGCCTGCTAAACATCCCCGTCAGGATTACAAGGTGCATTCTTTTGACTTTGTGGATTTTGGCGCTACACAAGATGAAGCGGCCAAACGATTGTCGGATGCTTCTCAAGGTCAATACAAGGTCCCAGATGCCAAGTTGTTGGCAATTAATACGGAACTCTGTCGAACCTTGAAGCCCCTCTCTGTGCTTGCTTCAGCCACGGAGGCCATGTCTCAAGATCTTTCGAGGATAACCCTTCCCGCTTAGATCATCTTACCACTATGTTTAGGTGGCAGGCTAGAGTTCTGTCTGATGTGGTGGATCACGTTCGTTCGGCCTTAGCTACCACCACTGTGACTAGGAGGACTGGGTTACTCGCTCCATGTACCTGGCAGGAGGAATTCAAGAAAAGACTGATGCGTGCCCCGTTTGCGGCTCCCACCTTATTCGCGGATAAGATCCCGGATGTCTTTTGAGAGCATGCCTCCTTGACCCAAACTGAGATTGCGCTCCGATCTTTTCGTCACTTCGCCACTTTGTCAGCGCCAGCTACCAGGACCACCAACCTTTACCAATCCAGGAGGATGTCGGTTCGTGGAGCCTTTAGAGGGCGTGGCAGGGGATGTTCCAATGACTTCCAACGTCGTCCCGCCGGTAACCAAAAGGACTTTGGCAAGACCGGCAAACCCAAGTACAAGCGCCGCTGATGTTTTGGGCGGTCACGACTGGGACCTCCCGCCCCGGTCTCATGAATATTCCATCGTTCAACACCAGCACCTGTTGACCAACATTCAGGCGTTGTTGGACAAGAAGGCCATAGAACAAGTACTACTTCCAGCAACTCCCCAGGGTTTTACTCTCCTATCTTCTTAGTTCCCAAAAAGATATTTTAGAAGATGAGGATGATACACAATATGGCGGTGTTCAACAAACTTTACCTTCCGGAGCCGCCACATTTTCGGATGGTATCTCTGATCCAGCTACAAACCAAACTTTCCCCCTAGGATTGGTTGGTCAGTCTGGATCTTCAAGACGCACACCTACATGTTCCCATTTAGTATGTTACGAACCTCACCGGAAGTTCCTTAGGTTCATTTTCGACGGTCACCATTACTAGTGGAAGGTCCTGCCGTTTGGCATCTCTATGGCCCCGTGGCTTTTCACTCGAAATACAGCACCGATTTCCCGGTATCTTCATCTTCGGGGGATAGAGTATTGGATTCAATCGCTACAGGGTTCCAAGCTCTTGGTGGCGTCGGACAACTCGACAGTGGTCTGGTTGATCCGCAACCAGGAAACAACCAGCTCGAGTCTTCTCTTGAATCAGACGTTTTGTCTGTTTCGCCTTCTGGACGACAAGATCAGAGCTCGTCACATTCCGGGTTGCAGGAATGTCTTGGCAGACGCTCTGTCCCGACCAGACAAGCCATCCCCAACAGAGTGGATGCTTCTTCCGGAAGCATTCGATCTGGATTGTCACCTCCATCACAGACCGTTAGTGGACCTCTTTGCAACGAAGCACGACCATCAACTTCCGGATCCTGTCGCTTGGGCAGTGGACGCCCTGTCCCTCTCATGGGAGGGTCTGGACGCCTACGCTTTTCCTCCTCCAGTTCTTCTTCCCGAGGTCGTAGCCAAGCTCAAGGAGACCAAGCGGATGACTCTGCTTTTGGTCGCGCCTTGGTGGCCGGCGAGAACCTGGTTCCCCAAACTACGTCGACTCACCAAGGAGATCCTCAACCGCTACCACAGTTGGCCACACGTTCATTCGGATAAAGTGACGTGTTCTCGTTGTCACATGATGGGATTGGGGGGCGTGCTTCCACTCGCCGGACGAGATCGACACGTCACCAGTTTCATGATAGCATTCAACAAGGATACTTATCGATCACGTTTCCAATCTTAGTATCAGATGAGCAAAGGTAATATACACATTACCATGAGGTAAGATAAATATTTAAATATCTAAAACATTTAGATTTTAAAAAGATTGAACTGTGAGTGTGATTTTATTGTGAATAGTACACAGGGTGTTTACTGTGTTCCTCCACTGCCCATAAATATTTTAAAGCTGATGTGCAGTTCAATAGTGAAGTCAGTCTTTAGTCAAGTGCCGGAACTTTGTCCGGAGATTGACATTGAAGCAGTGTTCAGTGTAGTTGACAAAATGGCTCTGTCACGTGCTACACAAGAAATATAACCGATGCAATCACTTGAGCCAGGTCATGCTTTGTTTCACTGTTTAAAAAAAGCAACTACTCGCAGCAAAACACCTTTTGGTATTTGCCAAAACACCCCTTAAGAATTGACAGTGCTTCGTTTGGTATTAACTACTGGTAGGTTGACTCATTCTTCAGACTGACGACATCTTGTGATATATTCATGACTAAATATTTGTGTCCGGTCATCTTTCTTTTCAGTTTCACTCCACCACAGAGCAGGAAGCCATGTGTTGGCCGCAACATCGAGGATAGTGATGCCGACCTTTATGCTGAGTATCATGGCGACAGCTCGTTCTCAGATTTCAACGACTCCTCTGAGAGTCCATTCACACGTAAACTCTGTGAACGGCCGCGTAAATCTTCCAGTTCCATCTGTGATGTAAACCCTGACCTCTCCAGCACTATCAACACCCAGTTTTCGTCCATAGAAACAAGTCCAGGAGCTCCATCGACAGGTCCATTCAACTTCCAGGGGATGTTTGAGGGCTTGTATGAAGAACATCGCCAGCTTGTGGCCGAAGGAGGAACTAAAGAGATGAAGGGGAGACGACTGCACAGCGCACAGGAGACACAACATCTGCAGCTTCCTGACGACTCTGCCCGGAACAGGAGCTGGAGTGCTGGTAAGTTTACAATGTCTGGGTAATTTGGTCGTGTGGTATGCTGTGGTCAGCAGAAGTAGAAATTGTCCTGATGGTGGATATTTTTGAGTGAGATCAGTGTGAGGTCACTTGGAACAATATTTGGTTTGTATGATATCATGTCAAGGTGATGGTGGAGGATATCCCACAGTCATTAGACATTCACCTCTTATGTGAAAACCAAAGCCACAAATATGGTACTGATACAGATTAAAACACAATCATGGGGAATCTGGCATTCAAAACCATTATGATAGGTTTCTGGTAACACTAAAAACGTACCTTTGAAATGAGTGAAATGAGGCGATTGAGACGACGAGTGGACAAGGATACCCATAACAAGACAGCTCAATATATAGACTGGGTATGTTTGACATATTTTATAGCACTATGACCAGCAATTAACAGCAAATGCTGTCAGCATGTCTGTCGTGAAAAATTTTGTTTGATATGAATGTGAAAGGTTGAAGTGTTGTTAAGTGGTATTCTGTATGTCTTGTGCAGTGGGCCTTATGATAGGTTGATGGGAGGCCCACTCTTAACACTGAACTATTCCTTCACTCCCTTGAAGGAGTGAATGAGTGAGTTTAGTTTTATGCTGCACTCAGCAATATTCTAGCTATATGTAAATAATCGAGTCTGGACCAGACAATCCAGTGATCAACAAACGACATGAGCATTGATCTAAGCAATTGCGATACAATGACATGTGTCAACCAAGTCAGCGAGTCTGACCACCCGATCCCGTTAGTCACCTCTTACAACAAGTATGGGTTACTAAAGATCAATTCTAACCTGGATATACACACCTCTTCCATGGTCTAGTGGATAGAGAGCACTAGGCCAGCAGTTTGGTCCCCAGCCGTGTCATACATGAAGACTTTGGAAGTGGTGCTTTTGTTGCCCTGCCTGGTGTTCGCTTGCATACATGAGGGTAAACTTCAGAGTCTGTATACTCTCTGGAGTTCATGTTACTAGTGTCACGATATCCTGGTGGGGAAGCGCTATGAAACTGACACTAGTCAACACTATCCCATCAGCCGCATACGCATGCATGCACGCCCCAAAAAACACATGCATGCATGCATGCACCTAAGTGCAATAATGTTAATGCACTGTTGAACCCTGTTTTCCCTCACCTCCCCTCACTTCCTGTAGGCGACCACCCCAGCGCCACAGATCAGCAGGACGACTACCCCCTCCTGTATGACGCCTCCACAGCTGTCTGGTGCCTTGCCTGTCAAGATGGATACATCGTGGCTGGCTGCGGCAATGGGAAAATTGAGGTATGCCAAGCATGATTTAAATCAGATTTAAATGTTATATGTCCTGAAAGAGATTGATATGTGATATGCTGGTAACCATGGTAATTCCTGCTTCAGATCTGGGAGGCTGAGAGTGTGGTGCTGAAGGGCCAGTATGATGGTGGGAAGAGTGCAGTCATGGCACTCTGTATCTCGGGAAAAAGGTTAACATTGATCTTCTATTTCGCAAATGATATTCCGAGTAACTCCCTGGGAATCCAGCCAAGATTAGCACCCCAGTAACTAGCAACTATGTTGTTGACTATTTTATCACGATATTTGTGCTGAAAGTAGAAAGTTTAAAGCAGGCAAACCAGCTTTTGTGAAAAAGGGAACAGGTTGTATGGATTAATTGAACTTCTGACTCTATTCACAGAATCGTTGCGGCACGTATTGACGGCACCCTCGACTTCCTAGAAATTGAAACTTTTCTGAACCCTGTGACGTCTGCAGCTCTTCCTGCATCTCCAACCAAACAGACAAGAGGTGATGTCCTGTTTCTTCTTTCTTGTTAGTTAATAGTGACTAGATCTAAAGTACTTTTAGCAGGGGTGGAGACCTGTTTGTCGTTACTGCACTGTGTATAGTGACCTGATGAATGGTACCATCAGTTTTGGTAGGGACTTTATTGATTGCCATGGGGTATCCATGCAATATACGCCTATCAGTAGCTTCTATTTCCAACTTCATCCTTCCACAGTAAGTTACCAAGACAACCTCACCTTTAAGCTGGGCGTACTGTATTGTAATTAATGATGTAGTATTGTAGCCAAGTGGTTACAGTGTTCACTCGTCACGCCAATATCCTAGGTTCGATTTCCCACTTGGGTACAATGGGTACTGGGTACTGGTGACGCCCCTGCTGGGACATACCTGGAATATTGCTAAAAGCTGCATAAAACCATACTTGCTCACTCACTGATTAATCCTGTAAAACAAAACACATCAATTGCTGGTTGTTGCTGTTCCAGGTCATACGAGGGCCCTCAGCAGTGGCAGTGGTTTTACAGGCGAGATAAAGTTGTGGGACAACATCCTCCACTGTACCTGCATACAGAGCTACCGAGCTCACCAGCAGCCCATCAATGTCCTCAAGTCGGAGGGATGTCGTGTAGTCACGGCCAGCCAGGACCACACACTCAAGGTTGGAATCAGGCACACAAGCAGCCTATGTATGGCCTCTGTATTTAATTCCCTATGATACCAAGTCTATTTTGTAGATGATTGCTTAAAGATTAGAACCCTGCACAGGGCTCAAGATAATTTTTCAACATCAGAGTACAGTACTCGTTATATTTTCAACAGAGGAGTACTGGAAAACCATTTAGAGTACTAGTTGGACTTACAGGAGTATCAGTAATCTTGTGTTTTCGTTTCTTATATGCACCACAACATTGCTACTCTTATCTAAACAGGTCAGTAAAACAATAAAGCAATACTTTAAAAAAAATACATCTGTAAATGATTCTAAGACCGTACACCATTGCTGTGTGGTGCAGTATCTGCTACGTTTTCTAAAATTATTTTCTACCGTATCGTGCATATTTTATATCCGTACATACACCGATACGGCCCTTATCTGGAGCCCTGCCTGCATATTCACTCACTCACTCTGGTTGCAGGTGTTCCGCCAAGAGGACTGTTTGTGTCTCTACACCCTCCACGGCCACGTCGGCAGCGTCACCGCTCTCTGTCTAGACTCGGTAAAACATTGCAGTACTTGAAATAAGGGAATGAATGAGTCCCCAGTTTAGTACAACATTAACCTATCACCTTGTGTGAACTTTGTGTTAGTTTGTACCCAGTTAAAGGAAGGAGGGATTGATCACTCCGTGTACCTGTAATATCAACCACTTTCGTTTGTTTGTTTGTTGTTGATTGCCACACCCAGCAATATTGCAGCTTTATGATGGCGGTCTGTAAACAATTTAGTCCAGACCAGACAATCCTGTGACTGACATCATGAGCATCCATTTGCACAGTTTGGATATGAAGGCATGTACCAACCATGTCAGAGAGCCAGATCACCAAATCCTATTCTTACAAGAAGCATTGGTTGCTGAAAACCACTAACCCAGATCTTCACTGGTGATTTAAACCACTGGCTTGCCACGGCAAGACTCGGTTCTTTAGAGGATGCTGTGGGATAAAGTTATACTATTGCTAACAACAGCATAATTCTTTTTCATCAGAAGTCCTCCTTGGGGTACATATAAGCACTAAAATGTCCATTTTAAAAACTTACGACAGTTGTAACTATATTATCCTTATCCTGACTCATGCTTATTGCTTGTCTCCTTTTCCTTCCGAATGCTAGTGGAACACTTGAATCCCCTTTTGAAGCTTTCTTAAAAAAAGCGGACGTAAAATCACTTACCAGGTGTCATCTCCCTTCATAGGTTTTAGCGGGAAACGGCGCCACCTGTCTCCCATGCTCCTCACTCTCTCCGTATTTTACAGATGATGTCGATGATGGAACGTCGCTTTGCTCAGGAGAAGGCTGCTATGAAGATCGCTACAACGTCTACTAGCCTGCGTGAAGGCTCTACAGTCTCCCCACCACTTCTGGATGAAGAGGGAAGCCTGCGCGAAGGCTCACGGACACGACAATCTTCCCCATCTGAAGTAGACGCCCCAGAGATTGCTGCTAAGAAGTCTCCACGCAGGAAGGAATTGAGGCGTTCACCCGAACCCTACAGACGGCGCAGATATGAGTCGTCATCTCTATCGGACTCTGACGCCCATCAAGAGCCTGCGCGAGGGCACTGCTACAGAGGGGAAGCTACGTCCAGGAATCCACCTTCGCGAAGGCCTAGAGAAATAGCTCAAACCTCCAGGAAGGATTCAAGATCGCATCGGGATCTCGCCTGCACTAAGCTCTTCATACAGATCATCCCATAGAGAGAGGGGAGATTACGTCAATCGGCCTTCGTGAAGGCTTAGAAAGATATCTCAAGACTCCAGGAGGAATACACGGTCACACTTCACTGTCTGAAGTTAGAAGTCTGGAGAACTCTACTAATGTCAGCTCAGCATGGCAGACCCCTCCGATGACAGTCGACCTGCGCAAAGGAATATTAGCTATATAAGCTCTCTCGGATGAAGGCCTGCACGAACGGTTACGTTTGCGAAGATCTTTACCGTCAGAAGTATCAGCAGTTAAAAGCCTGGAGGATTCAACGAACGCCAGCTTAGTGTTAGCAGTCCACGATGGAGCCTCCACGCAGTTTCAGCGTCTCAGCAGGAAGAGTTCTAACACAGAAGTAGATCCAGTTGTTCTCCAGGATTCTACAGACTGCGCAGATACAGATCTTCCAACTTGGACCTTCATCAACCTGCGCGCAGGCACTCACGGGGAGGATTATAATCAGAGTCAGCATGTCCCGCCTTTAAACGATAGCAGATTTCCCCTTCATCATACGGAGCCCTTCATGATACATCAGGGTTTGAGATTACAAGATCATCAGTGAATCCCGTAATAGATATTCAAGATAAGAAGATAACACAACTGGACACTACAACTAGATGTTGGCTATGTTGGATCAACGCGTGGCTGGAGGAAGAGACACACACCTGAAGTAACGATGTCAGATAACATCCGATGAAACACTGAAGATGAAATTTCATCACATGGGCTTACAAGATATCAAAGGGACAGTTAACAGCATTGTCGCAGTTCCTCAGCGAGACATCGGTTAAGGTCAACTTTACAGAACATCTGAATAAGATGACGACTGCAGTAAAGATTATAAAGTTGAAGAATACAGTCACAACAGACAGGGAACAGTCTGCTTACGTCAGTACTACGCTGCGAAGTTTTTGCGTGCTTCCACTCAGCCATCAAGACACGTGTTCACTTGTGGAACTCCGACACAAGCTGAGTGTTGACGAAGAAATCAACGACTGCACAAGATTCTACAAGGATCATTTTCCTGCAACACCGGTGACATCACAGTCACATGCCAGGAAGTCGTCTACAGTTGTAAACAACTCTTTCAACGTGGGAAAGGCTCCGTTTACAGTCTAATTAGCAGGGTACAGCGTGGTTCGACTGTCTTCACGGGTCATAAAGGACTTCCCCTGTCAGCAGATTTAATATTGGTTATCTGGGGACTTGCAGCGACAAGCGTGAGACGGTTTCTGCTCGCGGCAGCCGGTCGGCTATGAATAGACTTCACATCGATGGCAGTCCCAGTACATCATAGATTTTTGCTGATCTAGAGACGACGTATTATGCATCATCGCTGCACATTGTTCGGATTCTGGTGACAACATCTTCATTACATATTACCAGAAGAATGATGAGACAAGCTTCAAGCCACGATTGCAGAATCGATCATCTCTCCACTTCCATGACGGACATGGCAAGGACTCCTAGATCCACGTACCTACAATGTAGGACATGATTGCAGTAGATGGCTAGTAATCTCCTAATCGGAGTTGGAACCAAAACAGGATCTTCACTTTCTGGGAATATGGCTCATCACACCACAGAGGATCGTTGGGTCAAGATACAACATATGATATCTCAAGCAATGCTCTCTCCGTTGACACTAAGTGCTTGGCAAAGCATGCTTGGTCTACTCACCTCAGCTCAAGACATGACTCGCAGAGGGAGACTACAGCTACGCCCACTACAAATATTTGTGAACGCCCATCTCGACAGTCTGGATCCGCTGATACTACCGGACAGCCTGAAACCATAACTCCAATGGTGGACTCGGAAGTCGAATGTTTGTGGAGGAACATTTTTGTCAGAGCCAGTTTGCAACACTCATCTCTACATAGATGCATCGCTACAAGGATGGGGTGCCCACTTCGACAACGAAGTGGCAGCAGGGAAGTGGTCGAGTCAGGATCAGAGTCTGCACATCAACTTGTTGGAGATGAAAGCAGTGCTCAACTCTTTACAACACTGGTCCAGCGTACTAAAGAACGCAAGACTCACGGTCCACACAGACAACTCCACAGTAGCGTTCTACATCAACAAGGATCAACAAGATCAACAAGTCTGCTACAACTCAGCTTTCTCCTGTTAAACATCGTCGACAACCTGAACATCTACATGAAGGCAGGCCACATTCCAGGAGCAAAGAATGTCATAGCAGACGCCCCATCTCGTCCACTACAACCATCACCGACAGAGTGGATGTTATACCCAGAAGCGTTCCGGTTCGTCATACAGACAATAGGATCTCCACTGGTAGACCTGTTTGCAACAAAGGTTAAAAGCAACTACCAATATTCGTCTCTCCGATTCCGGATCCTCAGACATGGGCAACAGACGCTTTAAGCATCTCATGTGAAGGACTAAACGCTTATGCGTTTCCACCTCCAGCATTACTACCACAAGTAATACAGAAAATCAAGCAGACGACAATGCCACCGATTGCCACCAAAGACGTCATTTACCAGTTTGGGCCACTTGTTGTAGCACAACAACTAACGGTTCCACAAAGGCGTTGAGAAAATCTCACCCTTTTTATCACGTGAGTTGTGAAAACCAACGCTCTGGAGAGCAAATGGTTAAAGTCCATGCACATGTCTAGGACAGACTAGCAAGAGTGATAGACCCTGTACTTGTACTTGTACAGGACATACTCGTACATGAAGAAGGGTCGCATCTCCATTTGATGCGCGCATCAAGAGATGGAGTTGCAATAGATAACTAATGGAATATTAGTATATCTAAAATCCACACGAAAATGTCAGAAGAAATCTGACAAGTTGTGGTCCCCCCAGACTCATCAGATAGAAGTTGAAAGAATCTTCAACAGTGCCATCATAAGTTCCCAAGGGGGGTTAAAACAGGATGTAAATCTACAACCAGTGAATCCAGAATGTGGCTTGACCCACCACCGTTTTCGACGGATTCTGAAAGCATAATTAGCATGAGTCAGGATAAGGAAAAATATGTAATTTTCTGACTAAAATTGATATTTTATACTTATCCTGACTCATGAGGTTATCCCTCCCAACCTCCCCTCTTATGGCACTCTGGATTTCCCTGTAAATCTGGGTGTCAGGCTTACATACGGAGAGAGTGACAAATATGGCCGATCATGTGACCATTTGGACGCCAAAGGGAGGAAAGGGACGCTACTCGTGGGTGAGTGATTTTACATCCGCTTTTCTTAGAAGGGAACTTCAAGTGATTTCAAGTGTTCCACTTTCATTCGCAAGAGGAAAGAGACAAGCATAATTAGCATGAGTCAGAATAAGTATAAAATATCAATTTTAGTCAGAAAATTACATTTTGCAGGATACCATAAGTTGTACTGTTGCTGAAAAACTGAAAAAAAAAATTCTTTCCCTCACACGTCTGTCCTGCAACCACAGGGCCCACCTAACGCTGCGGTCAGCGGTTCCGTTGATGGGGACATCCGAGTATGGGAGCTCCTCACAGGGATGTGCATACACAAGTTCAGGGGTCATGATGGGACAGTGACAGCAGTTGACTGCACCGTCAGCCACATCGTCAGTCTGGGCCTGGATGACAGACTGTCAGTGTGGGACCGGACAAGGGGCCACCAGCTTCACTGCCTAGACATGGTGAGACACTTGTTATGTCATGTGTAATTTCAGGAACTGCACAGCTGTCTGGTTAAACAAATGTTTTGCATTATCTTGAAGGGTGACACCCTGCCCAATCCCATCATTATGCAATTAAATTTTCACATACCTTTAGTTTGGGCCGTTCACTTATCTTTGTCATAATTCCAGTGTGCTTGTGTGTGAAATCATCATCATCGCCATCCTTGTTTCAGAGTAACCCTACAATGGTAAATACAATACAATTTGAGAATCTGATTAACAAACAGGACACAATGTGTTTTCATAGTCACTGCTGCTAAACAAGTCAGTGTGTAGAATGTGTTGGTAGAGCCCATTGTATATTGAGTACATGGAGTCAGTACATGTGATGGGAATTTGGTGGCCATAAACATGATAAAGGACAGAGGCCACCATATTCACTGCCTGGGAAAAGGGGCCATCCCCTGGAATTTGGGATACATACCTGGAATTAATACCATCTGAGTTTAGTATATCTACTTTAATGAAAAGTTTACTTTAATGAAAAGTTTACCATAAGCACCTCACTGTTGAACTGTTGTACACTACCAAGACAGACGTTGTTGTACATGTGTGTGTTGTTTGTCCAGGAGCGGGCGTACAGCAGCTGCCTGACGTCTCTCACTGCCAACCTGCTGGTCACGGGGGGACAGGTCAGTTAGATCCTCTACTGTCACCATACTTGCATATACAGTAGAACCCTGTCTGTCATCATATACAATGATCAGTTGAAACAATTAGATCTTCATTTGAGCAATGGGGCGGTGGGGTATCCTTGTGGGTAAAGTGTTCGTTCATCACGCCGAAGACTCGGGTTCGATTTCCCACATGGGTACAATGTGCGAAACCCATTTCTGGTGTCCCCCACCATGATATTGCTGGAATATTGCTAAAAGCAGCGTAAAACTAAACTCGCTCACTCACTGACTCATTTGAGCAGGCGTCTGACCAGGTGCCATTAGGTGAGAGGTCCTAATGAGCAGGTTGGGACTGAAGAATCTGTCTTCTCTGTTCCAGGGCTGTCTGTATCTGTGGGACATAGCTAAAGGGGAACTGATGAGGAGGATTGAACTGGAGGACTCCGAACAGGCCTCACTAGTCAGCCATCTTGAGGTGGTCGGCAACATGGGGGTCGTCTGTGACTGTGGCGTCGACCTCAAAGTCATCCAATTCCCAACAATCCTAGAAAAATTTGAGTAGTAAAACATTCACTGTCCAACTGATTCAGCCACATCGTGTGTGCAGTGTCGGATGTGGAGGAAGTTATGAAACTTTGACGTGATTGAAGTAGGTTTACTAGGGATCACACAATCAATATGGTCACTTCAGATGTCAGGAAAGCATAATGTTGATATAGGTCATGTACATGTATCAGGAAGTTAACCCTGTTAACAATATTGAATGTGCCAGCGTTTTGAACTTCCTTCAACTGGTAAATATATAATTGACTGGGAAACAGTACAAACAATCAAACCATATGTGGGGAATTACACTTTACTGCTGAACCATTTACATAACTGGTATTATGGAAAGCAGTATTTCTGAAAAACAAACTGTAGGGATTGTGGTGGCTGCATTTTTTTAAATCACATTTAAGTTACCCATTTGAGAGAGTTCTGCCAGGGGAGATAACTCAACTGTTAAGTTTACAGTTATTCCAAATTTTACCAAATATTTATACTACAGATTATTTGTGTACAGCAATGTCTCTGTCCCAACTCAGCTATTGGTTAGGATATTCCATGTCCCATTATTCTTATGCGTGTATTGAACATTATGTTTATCAACATCCAAACCATCTAGTTACTATGGTAAATACTTACCAACTCAGTTCCATATTTCCTATAAAAGAGATTACTCAGCGGCAGCTACAACCTGATAATTACCACAGGGTAGGGTTACGCCCCAGATGTGGCAGTTACATGACATTTACTACACAACATTGTGATACTGACAGAAGTCACCAAGATATGATCACAAACTGATCCTCTGTCGGTTCTGTCACAGTAAATCACAAGCATGCTGTTTTACACATGTTGCTCCCCTCTCTGACCACGCGTGGACCAGTCATATATTTCATGGGTTTTAACTTGCTTGCAAAACCATTATGAAACAATGACCGGTCCCCTGTAATGTTCCTGGCTGAGGTGACATGTCAGTACAGGGAATATATCTGCTATATTCCCCAGCTGTCAGTCACTTGGCCTACAGGGTGATGTGTTGCTTTCCCATTCTAAGGTCTAGGTTCAGTGCCAACACTGGTATTATGTGACCCTATGTCTGTGGTACTGGTGAAAACAGCACAAATCTCCCTCTCTCTCTGCAGCATCAGATGAGAGAAGTACTTTCAAGGAAATGTTGTATAAAATATTTAGAGCATGTTTTACTCAAATTTGCCTTTTTCCACCCTATTTTCAGTTTCAAATACTGCCCATCAATGTATGATTACAATCAGTTTGGAAACTGTTGAGATACTGTTTCAAGATTCTACAAATATCAGATCAATTTTAATGATTTGATCAAAATATTAGCACATTATTGCATAATGAGTGTCAGATTATTAGTGAACAAGTATTAATATTGTCATTGTAACTCAAGTGTAAGCCCAGATCTACCCCCTTAAGTAGTAAAACACCCTCTACAAAACAAATATTTCCACATGTTTTTAAATTTTAACATGAATTTTTACATTTAATGTTTATGAACAAAATTGGCTACAAGCAGCACCATTGTTTCAGAAGTCATTCCCCGGGAATCATCGATTCTATTTTTATGTTTCAAGAATAATGCAGATAAAACACTGCAAATTTAATTTAATTAAGGTCATGTAGGTTCCATGACTAGTTTTCTGGTTGAAGTTGTTGTGTAGACCATGGGACTATATTTTGTACCCAATCATCAGATCCCATGTGTTTCTCCTGGGTTTAACTAACACAGTGACCGTACATGTCAGATATAAGATGTCTACATCACTCCCTCTACACAGGGTATTTGTCAGAGTCAAGGTTTATAATTTGTCATTGCTCAAGCTCATTGCACTGGCTTATGTTTGAGAGAGGCTAGCGTGATGAGATTGAAAACAGTCTTCCAGATCTGAAGTCTCTCCTGTGACCTGTTGATTGTGACTAGTTAAGCATCGTCAGCACTTCACGGGTTTGTATACTCTACTTCCACCATCACCTCCTGTACACACACCTGCTTGGCAGCATAGTCCCTCTTTGTCACCATCTAATCCAGCCACGGCTGGTTCTGTCTAGTTAGAGGGACACCACTGCTGACATTCAGACAGATTACACAACACAGCTGAGCTGTCATCTGCTCAATAGATTGTCAAAGTTTGCAGCCGTAGGTTAGTCATTAAATTCATTCACAGAGTTGGGATCGATGGACTTCTGTGAGTTATACACTGTCTAGTTAGATTATTTAACAGCAAAAATGTTCGCTATTCGATCCCCAAGTCTTCCCAGGCCACAATGTGTGAAGGTTATTTCTAGTGTCCCCGCCATGATATTGCTCACTCGCTTTAGAGTTTCACCTTTGGAACTCACTTAAGAGCTGAGGATTAGCTGTTCTTATGTTCAATTGTATTTTAATGATTTCAAAAGGTCTAGTCTTTGACACCTCAAGCAGCAACATGGTCTGTGCTTTGTGTCGATTTTGCATCTTGGTTGTCATGCCAACTTACTCACCCAAGTCTTCCGGGGCGGTGGGGTAGCCCAGTGGCTAAAGCATTCACTTGTCACGCCAAAGACCTGGGTTCAATTCCCCACATGGGTACAATGTGTGAAGCCCATTTCTGGTGTCCCTGCCGTGATATTGCTGGAATATTGCTAAAAGCGGCTTAAAACCTAACTCACTCACCCGAGTCTTCCCAGATGTTGGAGGAAGTGTACGTGTGTTCCAAACCTGTGAAGTGTTGCTGATGCAAGTTATCCCACTGTTGATCCCCTCCTACTGGAGCAGCATGCTGATGTTGTTACGCCGTCTATTGTTATCTTGTTTGAGGGCTGTCATTGGTGGAGTGGCTGATACCATGACATGTTTCACTCATGCTGCTCAAGAAGCTATTGTCAGATGAAATAATCAGGGTTCTTCCACTTCTTGTGAGTGGCATAATTTAGGGATGACGTACCATATTTATCTGAAAATACCAAAGTGATGTTTGAGTGAAATATCACCTTTTCGAGGAGATCCTTTAGTTAGCCCCAAAATATATTTATGACATCCTCTTGACCTCACATTCTCTCTCACTGCTTTGTCACACTGGAAAGGAAACAGCCTCCTTCGATGTTTTCAGTCATGAAAATCTGAAATCTGAATCACAAAGTGAAAGAAAATGATAGAACTTAAAGATTTCAAAGTTGGAATTGGGTTTTTTTTTAGTTTTTAGTCTTAGATTTTGAACAAGTAGTATATGTTTAACAAACTGTGGTATTGTTTGGATATGTTCCATCGGTCATGTCATCCCTATGTTTGCGTCAGTACGTTGTTAGAGGATACAATCTGCCAATGACAGCCCCGTCTGATGTTACTCACCCACCAATTTTTGTTACTGTTGTTTTCATCTTTGTAGATCTCAAGCAACATTGTTAGTGAGTATTGCATTGAATGTATTTTGAAGAACCTCGATGTGAAAACCTGGGCAGTCTCTAACACATCTGATCTTTGTGCCTGCTACCACTACACAAAAATCTGAGGACGTCCCATCACAGGTCAGATCAGAATGACCTGTCATCCGTCCTATCAGAGTTGCTTACATGATCACAGAGGTGATCGTTCAAATGTGTTTTCTATTCATAAAACCGTGAAAGGTTTACAGGACTTTTGGAAAGAAGTCGTCTTTTTCTTGATTCAGTTGATAAACATTTCGTAACAAGTAACATTCCATTGGGAAGTAATACCATACAATCTCAGCCATATTATTACATTTAAGAATCTTCTTTGGTTCAGTCTTCAAATTTCAAATCAAGAACTTTATCAAAATATTTATCATGCATAGTTTGTAAGTAATCATTTCAAAACTAGTGATACTCAAGAAAGCTGCCTTTTGATTGGCTAATATCAACTACCGGGTTGTCATTTGGTTGGTTGGTCTGGCTATGCGAAATGCAGTTCCAGCATGACCTGTAATGGGCTGTCATCAGTGTAGCAGCTGTAAGCACAAAGACTTGATTTTACGGAGACTGAAACCTGGGATGTGTTCAAGTAGATTCCATGACGATCGAATCATTGGTGTGAAAGGACAAGCATGTGTCACACATATCATGATAAACAATTCAAGATATTCTCCATGGATACCTTATAATATTTTTTCCAGTATACATCCATTTTGAAATATCATCTTGCATTTCCAGATGTTTGGTGTACTTGTGTTTTGAATGCCCAGAGATTTAATTTGGAACCAGTGTAGCCAGCTACAGGCTTCACTATTGATACTAAGGCATTCAACACGAACACCAACAAATCCAACAATGTGTTTATCAATATTATACAATACAAAAGTCATGTACCATGGCGTGTGATATTTAACTGAACTATTGAATCATTTCAGCCCTGACACAAACTCATGATTTTTCTACGTTTTTACTGCTCTCAGTATCTTCAGAACTTGATGTATAACATGACTCGCCAATCCATACTCGTGGGGGTCTGGGAGTCTCATTAGGAACAGAATATGATTTTGGTAACTGCCTCAAGACATAGAATTTTTTTCTTTGAAAGGAGCCAAAAGTGTTCTTTGTCATACATCCTTCACCAGGATGTTCAGCAAAAGAATGTATGTATACATGTGTGGGTGCATCTCATGTGTCTGTGTGTAAAATATTGCTTTCATAGTATTTTGTGTCCTAGCCCAGCTGAATACGCTTTAGACCTTATCATGCTTTATTGTTAATCCAAGGCAACCAAGAATGTTAGATTAAGAATACTGGCAGCTGAAAAATGCAGATCTCTTTAAGCCTTTTTTAGACTTTGCCTGGACTAAAGATCCTCAAGCACAAAATCAGGACATCCCAACACTTAAGACAATACCACAACTGAACATAGATACCCCACTCAGACACGTTATGCCAATACCAAGTCAACCAGTCTGTGTTTATCATGTTGATAACTAGCACTAGGGACAGGAGCACAACCATCTTTAAAAGTAAACGTATGATGTGGCTATGTATTGCCTAGAACTCAAAGTTTAATTTTAGGGATTGTAATGTGGTTTCATGGGTGTACTGGTTTATTACGTATTCAAACACAAGATATTCCGTATAAAGCTATTAATTCTGTTTTTGTTTTTCAAAGAAGTATCTCCCATCAGTCATGAATAAGGGAAAAGAGAAATATTGAAGTCAGACAGTGTGTAAAATGTATAAGTTAACATGCATTATTTGATGTTTGTGACTTTAATTTGAAAAAACATGAGGTTGATGCTGAGAAAGTAATGATCATGAAAGCATATATTCTTTGTTGCTGTAGAGATCTTTTCTTACATTATTTCTGGTGTCCCCCGCCATGATGTTGCTGGAATATTGCTAAAAGCGGCGTAAAACCATACTCACTCACTCTTACAATATTTACTGGAGTATCCAACCATCAGATTTGATCAGATGTGTTTACATATCAATAATCTGCTTATCATTATCATAGAAAGCACTTGGTAACCTGCACTTTTTCCTTGTCCTAGTCTTGCATTATGATTGTTATTTATTCATTTGATAGATTGTAGATAATCTCCAGATCGGTATTGAAATCCATCATTGAAATTGAGGAGAATGTAATAATTTATGTTATTTATTATTTCTCTTTAAGAGGCAAGGTTTATGCGACAGATGTCATATGATGAAATTTGTCTTAATTACTTAGAAAAATGGTATTTCATTTCTATTTAACCATTTTAGTTAGTTTAGGTGACATTTTAACAATTAATAATTCAAAGGATAACCTCGTGAATAGATTAATTTGTTAGGGTGTACATAGATATTGCCCCCATATGCATGGCAGCCTAGTCACTGAACACTCACACAGGAGACGAAAGGACTGAACGCAGATGGTATGTGTTTATATTTTATTGCATGGCAGTATTGTGGTGTACAATAACACTTAGATCCAAAGGTCGGTGCTCTTACACACACCTTTTCAAAGCTTACTAATCATGGCAACGTGAAAAAATATACAAATAAATAGTTTTGTTAATATTTTTTTCAATCAGAGATCATAAACCAAGAAAGACAGCAGGGCCTCCCAATGTAACAGTTACATTTATGGGCGAAACAGTGATAGTTGATAATGTACTACTGAGGCAAGTCGCTCTTTCTAGTGTCTATGAGTTATTGACAAATCTTTGGCTAACAAATGCTGAAACAGTACCCAAATGTTCATCTACCAACTCAAACTTCAATTATGATTTTCAGATTTTATATTTCTATATGGCCTAGTATGCCAACTTTAATTGGGGAATGTACAAGGGCACTGAAGATCATATAAAATATGTCTGTTATTAACATGTCTGATGAAAATAAGTATATCCCTATTGCATTATTTTTTCATCCAAACTCCTAAACGTCTGTTAAACTTACTGTCACAGGCAGAGTGGTTTTATTAGGTTGTATATTACTCAACAGAAGTTAAGAACACTCACTTATTTCCTAGATTAACTGTAGTCATATGAAAAACAACCGTATTCTTTAACTTGTTTTGAGTAGTATATGAGAATGGCCGCTGTAACGTCAATAGCTAGTGTAATTGAAAGGCTAGTGACAAAATATATTTTATGCTTCAATGAGTCATATTATCGGAATTGTGTTCAAAATGTATCGATTTTGCCAAAAGCATGTTTGGTATCTCTGGTATTTGATGACAATACTATGTAGGAAGAACCCTTCCTACATTTGGGCTTTGGACCACTGATTACAGCTGCAGACTGGGCCTAGGATACGGTCCGCACATGTGGGGGATTTTCTCATCCGCTGTACATACATGGTTGCAATATCACGTGTAGATGTTGGAAGTGTGAGACGGATTACGAGTCATATGAACATGTATATTTTGTATGGATGTTTGTATATCACGAATGTTTGATCAAAGTCATGTCTATATTTCTCTGTACAATAAACCTTTTGAAAACAAATTTCATGTGGTTTGTGTGTTTTTCGTCAACAGGTATGGATTTGGGCAGAAAATCAAATAGAACCTAAAGTGGTGTATTTTGTTATTTACAGAATTTCGTCATTTTTATTTTTCTCAGTTTCCATGGAAACGAATCAGACTTGGTCTCAAAAGGGAGGGATGGGTTTCATTTCTGGAGCACAATTCGAAAACCTATCAATATTCTTCAGCTAAAACTGGTAGTTATATCAAACAGAACCTAAAGTGGTGCCTTTTATTATTTACAGATTTTTGTCATTTTATTTTTCTTAGTTTCCATGGAAACGATTCAGACTTAGTCTCAAAAGGAAAGGATGGGTTTCAATATCTTTCAGCAGTTATATGAGGCAGATACCAGAGTGGTACCTTTTGATGTATGCAGAGTTTTGTCATTTTTACTTTTCTCGGTTTCCATGGAAACGATTCAGACTTAGTCTTTGAAAAAAACTAAGTTGGACTTGAAATAACTGTCAGATGATTTGTTCTTTCAAATATGTGGGGGCCAGGGGGATTTGTCATCTTCTGATGACTCGTTTTATTTTTTGGATACATAAATAGGTAACATTATTTCTGGGACTAAATGTTAGTCGAGGAACCATTGGTGACATAACTGATGGGTGGTGCAATGTCTGACAAGACCTTGTAATTTGATTGGAAGTTGCATTTACTCATATTGTCTATCACTGTTATATTTAGTCAAAATCCTCTACAGTTTTTAATACATTTTATTACCTACGAGGGCGAACATATCGGGGTTCATATTTTTCATACGATGCCCTAGGGCAAAATATCACCTTGTCATGGTGATGCGACGTCATGAACAATGCTGTGACTGCACGTTTCTTCTGTGACGTTGCGTTCTACATGCGGTGACGACGGGTAGACAGCCTATGTTTGAAAGTAGATTTGGGTTATTTTCCTCAATTTGACGACTCCGGTAATAAACAATATTATATTCGTGCCCATATCATACTATGTTTACGACATTCGTGCCTAAATATCGGTATATCCCTCGCTCTCGCTCAGGAAATACCAACATTTAGGCACTCGTGTCGTAAACATAGTATGACATGGGCACGAATAAAATATCCTCTATCTACAATATCTTTAACACCATAAAATAACATTTACTCATTACAATCTGGAACAGGCTGCTTAGTAAAACCAGAACTTGAAGTAGCCAAAAAAAATAAGAAACAACTTACTTGGGCAATAAAGGTTTATTTCTTAAATGAGTATCACAAATGCATGATATTATTCAATATTTAAATGGAGGAATGACATAATCAACAAATTCTGAATTTGTGTAACAAAACAAACGAATGATATCACACACATGCCCGACATTTCAGTGTACATAAGTAATATATATATATATTCTAGAAAAAATTTATTTTGTTTGGCAAGTGTTTCGTAAATATCAAGCAATAAATAAGAAATTGATAAATAAACAAGAGGAACAAACACCAAAGTGGAAATAGTTAAATTAATATGTATCATAAAAGAAGTAATTTTAACCTAATAACATCAACAAATTCATTCACAATATCAAGGGATTTGGTGTGACTATCGCACCCTTACGAATATGTGAGCTGTTGTTCAAAAGATGTTCTTTTTGGTCAAAGTGTTGGAATGGCATCAAATCTGTGATTCTCCATTACTCAGGGACGATGAACATGCAATAAATGAAAACAAAAACCATTCTTTAATATCATGGGCTTAAAGTTCCATAAACAGTTTCAAATTTTGTGCACTTTTATCTCAACTCTATTACATGTCAGGCTTGAGTCAAACACCGCAAGACTTACAATCTTGCTACCTGTGTATGATACCAATAATTTGTACACCATGATTTAATCTTCATCCCTCATCCATCTGATTTTACAGAGAATTCTAAGCCTTTTGCCTGGGGCAACACAAGCCCTTTCTGTAAAACAGTCACTATGGTACAATTCAAACTTGTCCACCAAAATCAATGGCTTAGAAGAGGCCACTTCCATGTCAAGCCTTATCATTCACAGTAAAGTGTTAAGTTATTATGTACTGAATAGATACCTGAATTAATTTCAAAAACTGTGAAATACCTGAAAGTACTAAGCCTAGCTTACCATAAGCTACATTCAAGGTGTTTATTCAATTAAGACAGACCAGTAAGAATCACAAAGAAAACTAGTTATTGTTCAACAAATTAAGCCTGTTTTCTATAGCAGTTACGATACCATACCCTGGTTCTGAAATGGGATACAACCGATTGGACCGAAGTCAGCTGTTATCCACCAGCAATTAAATATAATCATAGGCCGTGGAGTTCATCCTATCATGAAATTCCACATTGCCTTAATTATCTGATATTCCCCCCCCTGCCCACCTCACTTCCAAACTTCATCTCACATCAGTTTATTGTCAATCAATACCATAAACAATTACTACATGTTTTGTTTTGCGTTCTTGATGCTATATACTCAGCGTCTTATTGAAGGGTAGCAGATAATATATGATAAAAGTATTTAAAAACATTGTATTTTCAACTTGTAAGAGAGCAGCTGAGTTCCGTCTTTAATGAACCATCTCACATCGACACTGCATTGTACTTGTCAAGTATCTTGAATGACATCAGGTATCCATAGTCACACTGAACATTCATGCTTCAGTATATTAGCAACCCTTAACATCTTATCCACAAACGGACAGTTTGGTTGAAATATACAAGACACAAAAATTGGGACATAAATCTTAATAATAACATAAACATTTTCGCTTATAATTCAAAACAACACTGAAAACATCTCTTCTCTTGAAAACCATCATTTCCGGAATGGAAACATTAATGAACCTTCACACTTTATTCCCTGAGCTGAACACAGGCCATTATTGTGTGATGAATATTAAGATTAAGACGTTTACAAAGGTTATCTTTCATGGCAGCTATAGGAAGTGCATCTCCCCATCAACAAGGTCGATGCCCTCCTGCAGGGCCTGCATCTCATGTATCAGCTGGTCTCCATCGTCACTGCTGCTCCCTGAGCTTACAAGGGATACATCAGGCACTTCTTGAGCTCCGTCACTGGAGTCTGGGACAAAAGTACATGTTCATCATTGGTTCTGTGCAGATTTAGAGCTTATAATTGCTAGCATTTTAGCTCCACAAGTCCAGCAGTTTAAGTAGAGTTTTTAAGAAAGGCAGTATACACGACAATATTTCTATCTGTGCCAGAATCAATTTGAGTAGCATTTAGTGTTATTATAGGTATGATTGTGTTATGGGTTTTCACTTAAGAACATCCGTGCTTGGCTTGATTATCACATGAACAATTTAGAACATGTCACTAACATACTACTGACTGACTGAGTTTGGTTTTACGCCGCTTTTAGCAATATTCCAGCAACATCACGGCGGGGAACACCAGAAATGGGCTTCACACATTGTACCCTTGTGGGGATTTGAACCCGGGTCTTCGGCGTGACGAGCTAACGCTTTAACCACTAGGCTACCCCACCGCCCCCACTAACATACTAAAGACAACTCTATCTGAAATGCAAGCAATCATCCCAGTATTTACAATGCCTGTGTGTCACAACCTGTTTCATTATAATGTGAGTAAATGCTGCCATCCAAAAAGGGTAACGCCCGAAAACCTATGACCTGAACATACTATTATTAGCAGTACTTTCAAGTTACTAGACAACATCGTCAGAACAGCAGTTAATGTCTTTGACCAATATCATTGGCAATAAAAGGTTATGGCTGTGTTTAGAATAAGATCAGAACTCTTGGTATTGTTTTTCCCAGACCATAACAGACCTCCTAGTTGCAGGGAGGACAAAAATCAACAGACTGGAGACAACTCATCCAGTATTAGCTTTTATCAACATGTTCATGATATTAAAATGCATGATAAGTTTCATAAACATACTTTGAATTGTTTCAAAGATGCTGCAGTGATGTACACATGTTATACTCACTAGGAATGGCTGCATATCCGAATTCTGATGCAGTGTCTGCCACTTTGAGGTACTGAGAGGATCTTCCAGGCCGTTGTGGGGATTCATCAAAGAATGTGATCTCAATGCCAAGTTTGGCCTTACCCATCAGCACATCTACAAAGATAACAAGTTAAACAGCTAAACTTCTGATATAGACTGACTGACTGACTGAGTTTGGTTTTACGCCGCTTTTAGCAATATTCCAGCAACATCACGGCTGGGGACACCAGAAATGGGCTTCACATTTTGTGCCCATGTGGGGATTCGAACCCGGGTCTTCGGCGTGACGAGCAAACGCTTTAACCATTAGGCTACCCCACCGCCCTGATATAGACAAGTTACTGAGAGTGAGTGAGTGAGTGAGTATAGTTTTACACCGCTTTTAGCAATATTCCAGCAATATCACGGCGGGGGACACCAGAAATGGACGTCACACATTGCACCCATGTGGGGAATCGAACCCGGGTTTTCAGCATGTCGAGCGGACACATCATAACATGGAAAGTGCAAAGTGAGGCAGGTCTTAGAAGTTACCTCCCTTGAACAATAGTGTGCTGCTGACTAAGACAGAAACATGATCAGATCTAATCTGGGATTCAAACCCATGACAGACTTAATAAATGACAAAGTGATGCATCTCTGCATAGTGAACATGCACAAATGTGAGACTAGCCTGGGACAAATTGTCAGTCTCATTGTCTAAAGTATGTCATCCTAAGTATTAGTGTACATAAGTGTTGAGTATTACATAATTCCAAAGACAAAGTGTTTCAGTGGTATGCAATACAGTAATCATCTACAGAGCTAAAGTAAGGACAAAAATGATTGGAAAATGCTTTTTGGCTTCAATATCAATAGGACGAATTTGACACAAGATAAAAGCACATATATGATACATGTACGACTCTACCTAGTTGGATATTTAAGCTCAGATGAAAAAATGCACTTGAGGGGTGACTTCACAGGAGGAAATTTTGACGTTTTAACAACATTCGTAAATATTCTAAGTACAAAGTTTTAAACTTATCCTATCTCACGGTATGCCCCTCTCTTCTTCTTCTACGACCATGTGTGGAAACCCACTCCGAACAAGAGAACAGAAGCTAAAACAATCAGAAGCTGTCGACTAACCAGAGTGCTACATTGTGAAAAGAAGAAGCCCTGGGTATAAAGCTGTCAATAGGTCAGTAGATGGAGGGAAAGAAGCATATGAGAAGATCGTCATGAAGAATATGCTTTGGCTGCTGGAAGCACTTGAACGTTTACTATTCCTGCAATTTCTTTATGCCCGAGGTGATGAGAGTCCACTCTCAGGCTTACCCCAGGATTCCAAAGATCGTTTTCAGGTCCTAACAGTCACCATCACGAGCTTGTGTATGCTTCTTTTGCGAGAATTACCCCAGAAGTGTGGCAAAAGGCTACCATCCTCTAATTAGGCCATGTCACAATCAATCTGTCCAGTCCTACTGTCCTCAGCAACAAAACAAAACCCCCAATGTAGTTAAGTATACAACCAAGTTCTCCTACCATCCTCCACTCAGTTTGACACAGTTAAACCTTCCTACCTTCCTCCAAACAGCACAGGTTGGCACTGGTCTCCAAGTCTCCAAGCATCTCCATCAGATTCACAGATTTCTCCGACACAACTGATAGTAAACATTTAATATATTACAAAATGTATTCAAAACTAATACCAAACATTGATTAGCCATGCTGCCAGATTCCGGAAGCATCTGTAGCCCTTATGAACATCAACTAGCGTTTACTCAATTTCAACTAACAGTGATACATGTGTATTTATTCTCGCTTAAGGACTTTTGAAAAAACAACAACAGTGACACATGAATCAGAAATAACTGCATTTCTTCATATTTCAGATAACTCAACAACATAATGGAATGGTGCTGTTGAGGGGATCATGTAATGGTTGAACATGGTATAAGATAGTGTTATCAGGGACATATTATAAGTTGCATGCTTCTCTCAAGGGTAATACGGTCTGATGTACGCCTGCTTGTAGCAGTGTCACCCAGGCCGGTAGGCGAGGGATGACACTGCTACAAAAAGGCGTACATCAGACCGTATTACCCGAGGGAGACACATACACTGTATTATTAAGCAGCAGCACTACTTTATGCCACATTTGATGATATTTTTTAGTTTTTTAAGACACAGTCGAATACCAGCTACATGTCCTGTAACTAATCAAGGGTCAAGTGTTACGAGAGTGTGTTTTTTGTAATTTATATTATCATTGATTAAGTGATAGTTATTATTGGGTCACAATGTTTAAAGTTTTGAGTGTGGGTTGTGGGTCACATTTCACACCATACATGTTTAATGGCAATACTATTTTTAGCGGTACGCCTTTATGATAGCGCTCCAGAGTTGCCTCCTTTGACTATCTTATTTACGGCTTTCATCATGTCGTGTTTACAAGGCCATTTCGTGAATGTTCTCAGTTGATAAAGAATGTTCTAAACTCTGTGTCAGTATATATAAAGGCTGGTTGTTGTGTTGACACACACGAGGGACTGACACACGGAATTACACACTTATCATATCACTGGAGTTGTGTACATCTTTCTGCCGTCACCTGCCTACCGTTGTCGTCTGTCTGTCTACATCGTCAAGACCGATTATCTGCTGACATTGTAAACTACCTTCAGTTAGAATATCTGCTCTCACTGTAAATGCAAGACTCTGGTGGGTTAATATTTCATATTTGTGACCCATTACTTTAGATTTGTGACTCAATTGCATTGTACTAAATATCTGTATTGTCATTCATTCTAGCTTGCTCATTGTTTGCTCAATATATTATTGAATATTGTAGACTTGTCTGTTATATTTTGCTGGTTCAAAGGGGACTCTTAAACCTTTTGTCACGCCAATTATCTAACCGTAACACAAGACAAATTAGGGGTTGATATTATGAGCAACATCAGATGCCATGCAATCAACACAGTAACTAAGGCTGACCATACAATCCACCTTTGTCAGCTGACATGCAGATAAATACTGGAAATCTATCCTGACACAGATCCCCATGGATTGCCACAATAACTGAATACTCTGCACACTACATACAACTCACATAAGACTATTAACATAAATCCAGACCTATGAATTAGTTTTTTAACAAATTACTACTGCAATCAACATGATAAGTAGCACTCACTGGACTCAAAAGGGCTGCTGCCTCGGTCCACACCAACACTACTGTCATCCAGTCTCTGGCTGGAGTCCATGTACGGCACACACTCAGCAAAACTTGTTTCTTTGGTTACATCTTTTCTCTTCTTACCACTGTGTTTAGATGGAAGTATTTTCTGAAAGTCCTTTCCTTTGATGAACAACTCATAAGGATATAGATTTCTGAAAGTTAAAAATAGCATGAATGCTATCAGCTGATAGCTGTGAGTCACTTTTTAATGTGAACTTTGAATGTATATATCTTACAATCATTATAAACATTTCACTCATATACCATGTGTATATTTGAGCTAGGTAAACTATATTTTCAAGACTCAACTGCAGGTTTAATGGGTTCAGGAACTAGTTGGTACAAACAAATCCAAATCATCGTCTAGTTATTTGCAGTGTTACAAAATGTAACACTTGGTATTTGTCTCGAACAATTTCACAACACACCTCCGATAGTATCGCTTGGCAACTTCTCCACTGTTCGTGCACTCTGTGAGCTCCTTGTAAACTTGCACCCAACCACCACGGGTTGAACATACCTGCAGAATAAGTTAACTAATAAACCTAAACTAGGTTTAAACTTAACTTTCTAAAGAGAACCTAACAAAAGTCCAAAGCAATTATCAAATAAACCCAACATCTTTACAAGAATATCTAACAACAGTATTGCATGAACAATGAAAACATTGCTATATTCGATTCCTAAATTTGCAGGGCGGTGGGGTTAACACGTTTGCTCGTCATGCCGAAGACCCTATTTCAATTCCCCACATGGGTACAATATGTGAAGACCATTTCTGGTGTCCCCATGATATTGATGGAATACTGCTAAAAGCGGCATAAAAACCGCTCATTCACTCCGAAAAGGTAGCTTTCTATAGTATGTCTTGCGTGGGCTGTCATCACTGACCTGCTCGTAGCCACCTCTCTCATGAACAGCTAGGAACAGCTGGAAGAGACTGATGGACGTATTCTGCCATCTTGGTAAACCCCGGAAGGTCATCTTGTTTCGCTTCATGAACCTCAAGACATCATGTTCAAATGCCCGCTCATTTCTCTGATACATCTATAACAAAGATCAATTTGTGATAATATGCAAAACAAATCATTCAAGCCATTCCTTGGCACCTGATTGGTTAGCCACCAATTTCTTTACTGTTTTTTGCCATATCCCTAACCACCCACCCTTCAACCCCCACAAAATAGGCCATGCTCACTAATTAGTTAATAACAGAATAAGTGTGGATTGAGGCACATTACTGCGCTGACTAATGTCTCTGATTCATATGGATGACGTTTAATATTATTGTTGTATTTATATGAATGTACTTCAATATATACTCATAGAAACGAATAAGGGAACAAATGAAAGTACAAGTGTGCCTTTATTATTTCCAGAATTTCGCTCACTTTGCAATACATACCTTGTGAAGAAACCTGGATAAGAATAAAGGAACACTTGTACTTTCATGTGTTCCCTTATTCGTTTCCAAGAGTTCATTTTGCTATGATTTGTTATGCTGCTGTAGCTGGTCATGGAGACATTTTTTGTCAACATGCTGTAACCTATTTGGTCATGTGGATAAAGCATCTGACCTCAGATCAGCAGTTCAAATCCCATCACAGAATCAGTTCAAATCCCATCACAGGATCAGTTCAAATCCCATCACAGGATCAGTTCAAATCCCATCACAGGATCAGTTCAAATCCCATCAGTTCTTAAGTGAATGTGAGTGTATACTGTTTGCCACTGTCAGCTATAGTTCAGTAATTCATCTAAACTGAATCAACTATTACCACAAGCAGTGGCGTCTGTTCTGACCCAAAATGACCAAGGGGAGATAAGTATTGGTGGCCAGTAAGACACTATGCACCAACGACTACTGTCTTGCTGTTCATGACATTATTCACATCAACAAAATACGATTGACAAAGACATGTGAATACTTGGTGTGGCTGCAACAACCTCCAATAACTGGTTATTCACAGGAGAGGGCCCAGGTTTGACATGGTTCCCAGCAATAATGTCACATGAGGTGAACAATGGTTAGGCTGAATAACTTAGTTTATTGTTTCAGCATCAATCAGTGAACTGGCTGGTCCACATTTAGTTACCATCATATTGCAGACTAGAGCACTACACAGACATACACTGACACATGCATCCCTTATTACAACCTACCTGTACATCAAGAACCAGCTTTTCCTCTTTGGAATGGCTCACTAGAGAATCTGGAAACTTCATATCTAGGTTCGCCACACTGGGCCCACCACATGCATTTACTGATGCTGGAGAGTCAGGGAAAGCAAAACTGTCTTCAACAGGACAGTCAGCTTGTTTGTGTTTGCCCTGCTTTTTGCTGTTCATTTTTGTCTTCACCAAGCACTTGCTCTCCTTGCTCTTTTGTGTTATACCATCTGGAAAATAATAAAAACTAAAGTCAGAATAAAACAAACAGCATATCTGAAGATTACCAAAGCATTCTAAATAAAATATTATTTAAATCTGAAAATTAACAACTTGGTGTGTCATGACTACACAAAAGAACATCCTGCTCTGCCCACTTCATCAAAACAATTACATACAAAACATTTGAAATAATGAAACAGTCACAAGACTTGGCACTCAAATAAGATGCAACAGAGTATCCTTCTTCACAAAACCTGATACCTGAAACTAACTATAATAACATACCAAAAACATGCTCTATATATTCTATGTGTATTCACAAAGAGTACACTACTGAATACAACCAACCTCACAGACTGCCTCATGAAAGTGCTCTTCTGCATTCTCCCAGAAATATATCTGGGATTTTTACATAATTGCCTCTGCTACCATGGCTACTGCCTATCACATAATTTTAAAAGATTGAACAATATTTGTATACATTTGCATATGGAAACATAACATTTTCTATGCACTGATGACTGTAGAAGAGACAGGAGTGTAAACTTACCCCTCAAAACTGGGGTGAGCACCACACCCACTTCGTCAGCATGCCCAGCTGCCTCTGTGACAACACTAGCAGTATTGGTGAAGGTGCACATGGCGATTCTCTCTTCATTACTAACTGCTAGAAGCTTATTGGCTTCCATACACGCCTGTTCCACAGACACATCTTTCATGTAGCACTTGCGCTCTGGGTGTTTGCTCGTGGAAGAAGTGAGAGCATTTCTTCTGCCTTTCCGACCCCTGATACAGATTCTGCCTTGTTTCTGATGCAGTCAACAATTGGAAAATATGAGATATTTATGCAATTCTTTGTTCTTTAATGCAATGAGAATGAAAGACCCCTCTTGAACACGTTAAGTCTCAATGCAAGGCATGGAAACTTTACATATTTGTACAGTGCAATCATCGTAAAAGATTCCTCCTAATTCAGGCATGTACTGCTACAAGGAATGGAGATAATAGAACTTACACACTTAAAAATACAATCAGTATTAAAGAATCTTCCTGACCCCAGTAAGTGTTGCTGCAAGGCCTTGAGACTGTACCATTAACACATTTGTACAATGCAATAAGAGTAAAACACCCTTCTTGACCTCAGTAAGTGTGGCTGCAAGGCCTTGAGACTGTACCATGTTAACACATTTGTACAATACAATAAGAGTAAAACACCCCTCCTGACCTCAGTAAGTGTGGCTGCAAGGCCTTGAGACTGTACCATTAACACATTTGTACAATACAATAAGAGTAAAACACCCTTCTTGACCCCAGTAAGTGTGGCTGCAAGGCCTTGAGACTGTACCATGTTAACACATTTGTACAATACAATAAGAGTAAAACACCCTTCTTGACCCCAGTAAGTGTGGCTGCAAGGCCTTGAGACTGTACCATGTTAACACATTTGTACAATACAATAAGAGTAAAACACCCCTCCTGACCTCAGTAAGTGTGGCTGCAAGGCCTTGAGACTGTACCATTAACACATTTGTACAATACAATAAGAGTAAAACACCCTTCTTGACCCCAGTAAGTGTGGCTGCAAGGCCTTGAGACTGTACCATATGTTAACACATTTGTACAATACAATAAGAGTAAAACACCCCTCCTGACCTCAGTAAGTGTGGCTGCAAGGCCTTGAGACTGTACCATTAACACATTTGTACAATACAATAAGAGTAAAACACCCCTCCTGACCTCAGTAAGTGTGGCTGCAAGGCCTTGAGACTGTACCATTAACACATTTGTACAATACAATAAGAGTAAAACACCCTTCTTGACCCCAGTAAGTGTGGCTGCAAGGCCTTGAGACTGTACCATGTTAACACATTTGTACAATACAATAAGAGTAAAACACCCCTCCTGACCTCAGTAAGTGTGGCTGCAAGGCATGGTGAAGGTGTCCTGACGGTGTACAGCTTGACGCTGAGAGCCCTGACCCAGCTGTGAGTGTGACATCTCCCCAGGAACTCTACATGGTACCACCCTGGCTTGTGATGTCCATCAAACAGACAGTGAAGCTGGTTGCTGGGGTCCTTTGTGATAACTCCAGGCCATCTATACAGACAATACAGTATCTGTCACATACAAAACCTCACTGACCAAAAATAATATACAGTCCAATACTAGACTAATATATCGTCCAATACTAATTCTAAATCAACAACTGATAATCAGGGAAATAGAATGATTCGAAAACTTTAAGGTCATGTTTTCATTTGTAAAAAGAGGCGGTGAGGTAGTGCAGTGGGTAATGCCAAAGACCCAGGTTCGATTCCCCACATGGGTACAATGTGTAGTCCATTTCTGGTGTCCTCTGACGTGATACTGCTGGAATATTGCTGTGACAATCAAACACTTTACCCACCATCCTATGCCACCATACCCATCTTTAAAAAAAGGGGAGGGGCAGTGGGGTAGCCTAGTGTTTAAAGCGTTCGCTCGACATGCCAAAGACCCGGGTTTGATTCCCCACATAGGTACAATGTGTGAAGCCCATTTCTGGTGTCCCCCACCACAATATTGCTGGAATATTGCTGAAAGTGGCATAAAACCATACTCACTCACTCAAAGAAAGGGACAGTCCATCAGTACCTACTTGCAATAGCCAGTCATTTTGGCCCAGACAAGCGAACCCTCAGCTATGGGTGACTTGACATAGCACAGACCAACTCTCTTGGCTGCCTTGTCATACCATTCAGTGTTTTCTTCAGGCACATGACAATCTGCAAAGTCCCTGTTGTAATTCATGTAGCAGAACCAGGGTGTGTCCTCCGTGACGCCTTCCAGCTCTGACACTGACACTCTTCTCCATTTGTAGCATCCAGGATTCTCACACTGGACCCATAGTGTTGACTCAAGCTATGTAGGTTCACAGAAAATATGGATGCTTAGTCCCATCAACATAGAATTCAGTTTTTCTTTCCTTTACTGTTGACATCTGTATGATTCAGTAAATATCAGATAACATGTATTCAACATGAATAAATGTTTAGTATGCTAAAATATGCCTAATATGCCCAGTGAGAATAAATTGTATTACTGGTCCTTTATCAAAGAAAGCTGAGTCATTTGCAGTTTTATACTTGTGCAAATTACATTATTTTCATCAACCGGCCTGCACTTCACAGGTTATAATTTCAAATCAATTTTCTGTGCTGACAGGGAAAGAGATGATTTCAGGACTCAATGTTTACTCAAATCACATGGTTTTCAAATAACGATATTAAAGCAGCATTTGAAGCAAGTTAACATAAAGCAAAAACACCAAACCAAATATGCTTCCAAACATTCATTATAACCTCCTGTTTGAGCTCAGCTGTGCTCCCAGATTTCCGTGAGATTTTGGGAGTGAGGTGACTGACTTAAAGTCAAGAAGCTTTTCTGAGAGGATGGAGTTTTTAACTTGGTTATTGCCAGAAGTTGTTCCTGAGTGTCTTTATCCAGTAGCTGAACTTGGTCTGGATTATTCAACACTATAAAAAGAAAAAAGCCCATACACCATACACGAAAACTTCTAATCATGTCTTGGCGGCCAGTAAATAATATAATCTAGACCAGACAAACCAGTGATTTATATTATGAACACCATCAACAAGTCACACAGTCTGATGACCACATCTATTAAGTCGCCTTGTATGACAAGCATAGGCTTTTTTGGGACCAATTCTCACCTGAAAACTCCACAGTAGTGATAAAATCTGCAATGCAACCATAAAACATCCTGAGGTGAGAATATTGTAGTGAGATGACACTCAAACAGTACATAGTAATACTGACACTGAGTCAACAAGTCCTTGTTTTATCCACATAATGCCAAACAGCAGGCTGGATAACAACACGACCATCTCACATCATCTTCTACAATATGCATTGAATCATCAACCTTACATTTTTCCTGCAGACCAGCCAAGCCACAGATGTAGTATGGCTATATAAAGCAAACTGATAGGGTTTGCAATATATACGAAGGTAATGTGCATTTACCTGATCGCTTCACTCCTCTTGTAAGCATTCTTCCTTTTGATGTCGTTGTCATGCTGTTCCATTAGTACAGATGACAAAAACACAAATCTAAATTTCACAATGCACGTATGCATAAGCTTATGAAGACATTGTGTTTAGACTGAATCTGACTCGTCACCCTGTATATGAAACCATGGCAGAGTTCATGAATGACAAATCTGAAAACAATTCACAAAACATTTACCATCTTGGAAATTGACAAATTGTAGTCCCAAAACAAAATGTAATTGTTGAAGAATATCTCTAAATTTCAACACAGGTACAGATTGTATATAGCAGATTTTAAGAAAATATACTTGTGTTTTGTTTAGTTCATTGTCAATATATACCAGGTATGCATTAGCCATTTTGGACTGGAATTGGTTGGATAATCAATATCATTACACAATATCTTTCAAAGAATTTAGAATTCACAAAATGGTGCTAAATCTAATGTTCATATATTATTCAAATCATTTGGTAATAGATTTGTATCAAATTATTAACATTGATATAAATACAGTCTGTAGATAGTGAAACACACACATATTTACAATTTATTAATTGTGAATCTAATCACGATAACGAAGACAGTCTTCTTTATTTATTCCAATATTTGAATTATTGTGATATTAGATAAACATGTTATTTTTATGTCAGTGGTCTTAAAATCAAGGGGGAGCGGTGGGGTAGCCTAGCGGTTAAAGCATTTACTCATCATACCAAAGATCCAGGTTCGATTCCCCACATGAGTACAATGTGTGAAGCAGATTTCTGGTGTCCCCTGCTGTGATATTGCTGGAGTTCCCCAGCATGATATTGCTGGAATATTGCTAAAAGCGGCTTAAAACTAACCTCACTCACGCACACTCACTTAATATCAAGACCCTGTCAGTTGAAAATACTAAATTTACAAGAGGATTATATATCAACAGTATTTCTCACTGCCCCTCATTCATAATGATAACTAAAACAAATCAAACCTGCTAATAATAATATGTGGTAGAGTTTCCTTTGCATGAAGACACCACTACAAGTTGTATTGATGTTAATAGATCTGATAACATCTAGCTTAAACAGATTCTCTTGAATTGTCCTATTGGCTATAAATAGCCATTGCCCATTCGCTTATGTTTCTGTGACTGTGTTACAATATGGCACCTCATATCTCTAAGGTGTGAAAACAAACCATTCATAGTTGTGACTTGCCTGTGAAAAGAAAGAATATTTACTGATAAAAATACGAATCATATCGCACCCACTTTATCGGGATACGTATCGTATCGCGACCCTAGTATCAGGATACGTATCGTGTCGTATCGCGGCCCTAGTACCGTTTCGTCACACTTTAACTGTACAACTTTTGTGAACAGAATCGAACTTTTTAGCCTCTGCGAAGGGCTGTAGCTCAAGTACCGTACACCGAGTTTCATTGCAAACAAAATATACATACAACATTTCTGAAACCTGGGACACAATATACTGCGACTGTGACACAACCAATACTCGTTGTAAACTAATTAAACATTAACAGTAACCATTCAATTTACCCATAGCCCGGGCATAAGAAATAATCACGTCTTTCTTTTTGCAGACGACGGCTGAGTCTGAGGATTGTGGGTAAAAAGTCAGACGGTTCTAGCATGAAATTGCGCTCGAACTGCCACTTATGCTATTGATAGACGAAGCCCAGTTCAGACAAGACTGCGTTTCTTTCAAAATATGAAAGTCAGATACGCGCGGAAATACAAACGGAATAGGCACAAGAGCATGGAAATGACACGAAAAACAACCATGCTAAATCCTGATTATGACATTATACAATTGAATCCTAATCTAAACTAAAATCAGTTTACTAGTTTATGACATCATTAATTGCTTATTAAAATCACAACATCTATGAAGAAATTCACATCGTACAGAATGATGATTGGTCAGAACAAGAAATGCTAATATCAGTTTGATGGCAATATTCATATACAAAGCATTTCGTGATATACACGTTGAATTAAAAAAATTAAATGATGTAAAAATAAAGTTGAATCAATATTTTCAATAAATTATACTGGCGGTGTGTTTCACCTATTGTTACTTTTAGTTTAAAGTCTTTATAATTATTTATGGAAGTAGTATTTCGGAAAGTACTTTAAATGTTAATAAGGTTATACGTTATTGTTGCTTCTGGGGAAAAAATCTTTATTTGGGAATGTAGTGTTTCGGAGACCCTAAATGTTAATAAGTTTATAGTGAGTGAGTATGATATTACGCCGCTTTTAGCAATATTCCAGCAATATCACGGCGGGGGACACCAGAAATGGGCTTCACACACTGTGCCCATGTGGGGAATCGAAACCGGGTCTTCAGCGTGACGAGCGGGCGCTTTAACCATCAGGCTATCCAACCGCCCCAATACGTTTATACGGTATGGTCACAACACATAGGTAGATGTTAGACCATGAACTAGGTAATTTGGAAGTGTCTTCTTCTGGAGCTCAGTGAACTTGACTGCACATGGTTCTAGTTTACTCCATGCTTTACTGTATCTGTTTTGTTGTATATTTACCCATTGTATGATTTAGTACAGAAAATAAGTGGAAATGAGGATGAAAGACTGTCTGTCCTGATCAATTTTCTATCTTTTTTCAATCTGAGTCCATAATATATCCACACCCGTGAAGGTCCGGGCAAGAATTGATCTTCAGTAACCCATGGCGACTAACGGGATCGGGTGGTCAGGCTCGCTGACTTGGTTGACACATGTCATCTTATCCCAATTGCGTAGATCGATGCTCATGCTGTTGATTACTGGATAGTCTGGTCCAGACTCGATTTCTTACAGACCGCCGCCATACAGCTGGAATATTGCTGAGTGCGGCGTAAAACTAAACTCATTCACCATAAGATATCCTTGTTTAATGGGTGTTCGCACATCTAAGATTTAGTAAGAAACATCTTTCTAATCACATGAACGACTACAAAACATCTTACCAACTTATAAAAGATAGCTTTATCCTAAACACAAGCCACCACTCAACAATTTCCAATGACTGTGTAACGCACGTACGCGTCTGTCAGAGTAAGCGCTGAGAGTTGAGATGCATGAGTGAGTTTAGTTTTACGCCGCAATATTCCAGCTATATGGCGGCGGTCTGTAAATAATCGTGTCCAGACAATCCCGTGATCAACAGCATGAGCATCCATCTACGCAATTGGGATACGATGACATGTGTCAACAAAGTCATCGAGCCTGACCACCCGATCCCTGAGATGTATGAAAACATGTCTATATGCATAATATGTTAATATCAAGCGATATATAAGCTCTACCAAATATACATTTCAATTACTATCCAATCATCTTGTTTAACATTTTTATCCTTGTGTATACTGGCGTCATTACTTGTGCTATTTGTTTTACTTCCCATCTTGCCTCGTCCAGTTATCAGTTATCTGTAGTTATCATTGTTAACATGCTGCTGGTTACAACATACTGTACACATCTTGTCACGTGATTGTAGTCACTTTAGTTTGATAAAGGCGTAAGAAATAGTAAGTTATTATATCCACAACGTTGTATGTGTTGCTATAATCATTTTTCATCGAATCAAGGTTTCCAGCTTGCGGCTAGACTAACGTGTCTCTGAATATATATAATTTGATAGTAACAAATAAACCCATGTATATTCATATGGAGCTCCTTTGAGATAAGAGTTTCCCGAACCTGAGGAAATCTAGACTTGGCTTTAGCATTGCAGGGAGAGAAGAGAAAATAATGTGGTTCAGGGACTGTGAGACAGGCTAACTTACGACCACTGTAGGTTTAAGGGCACAACACACGTAAAGCTGAAACGCTGTTAATACACAATGCCATGCTGAAACGCTGTTATCAAACAGAAATACTGTTCATAACAGCGTCAAACCCAAATCACTCTGTCATCCTTCCGTCTTCCGGATCGATTATCTTGTTGTCCACATGGCTGAGTCACCGCTTGATGATCAGATAACCGTGAAGATCCGACTGCAAATCATCTTTAGTAAGCCATACAAGAGGTGACTAACAGGATCGGGTGGCCAAGTTCGGTGACGTGATTGGTGTATGCCATGGTGTACCAATCGTCTAGATCGATGCTCATTACGTCAATCTCAAGATCGTCTGGTCCCCTCTCGATTCTTGACAGACCGCCGTCCTTGGGTACTTCGTTCGAACGGTTGCTGTTAAGTGTGGGTGACCATGGGTAGACGGTACACATCAACCATCACTACTGCATGGAGATACCCGGGGTGTACACGCTATAAAACATTGGGTGGTCTATAACATCACGTTATATACAGCTGTGGTCGTTACGGCTTGAGCTGTACAACATACATAAAGGAGGGAGGGGTGGATTTATGGAAGCCAACATCTGTATTGTGAATAACTCGGCGTTGTGGAGTATATTCTTGCTCCCCCAACATGTGGCGCTAATCCTATAAATAACACAGAAGCCAACATCTGTATTGTGAATATCACGGCGTTGTGGAGTATATTCTTGTCTCCCAACATGTGGCGCTAATCCTATATAACACAGAAGCCAACATCTGTATTGTGAATATCACGGCGTTGTGGAGTATATTCTTGCTCCCCAACATGTGGCGCTAATCCTATATAACACAGAAGCCAACATCTGTATTGTGAATATCACGGCGTTGTGGAGTATATTCTTGCTACCCCAACATGTGGCGCTAATCCTATATAACACAGAAGCTGACATCTGTATTGTGAATATCACGGCGTTGTGGAGTATATTCTTGCTACCCCAACATGTGGCGCTAATCCTATATAACACAGAAGCTGACATCTGTATTGTGAATAACACGGCGTTGTGGAGTATATTCTTGCTCCCCAACATGTGGCGCTAATCCTATACATCTGTATTGTGA